GCCTCCCACATGCGCACCGTCTTCATCTCGCTGCTCTGCTTCCCCTGCTTCCTGGGCGCCGCCATCTTCCTCTGCTACGCCGTCTGGCAGTGAGTGGGCACGGCCTTGGGCGGGCGGGTCACCCCAGGGTTTGGGAGGTGCTGCTGGGGCCACAGCGTGGGGTGGAGGTGGCCTGGGCCCAGCCAGGGCTCCGGCCACCCTGCCCTCCCCCTCACCTCCTCCCCTTCTTCCCCTCTCCCTCCCCCTCCTCCCTTCCTTTCTCCCTTTCTCCCCTCCTCCCCCTCCCCTCCTCCTCCCCTCCCCCTCCCTTCCCCCTCTCCCTCTCCCTCCCCCTCCCCCTCCCCCTCTCCCTCTCCCACAGGGTGAAGCCCTCAAGCCTCTGCGGGCCCTTCCGGAGCCTGGACAGCATGTACGAGGCGGGCAAGGTGTGGGTGCGCCGCCTGGAGAGAGCGGGCCCCCAGGTCTCCTGGCTGCCCTGGGTGCACCGCTACCTGGTGGAGAACACCTTCCCCGTCTACCTGCTGTCAGCCCTGCTGCTGTGAGTGCCCGGGCCCCGCCCCGCCCTCCCCCCTCCCCCCTCCCCCCTCTCCCCCCTGCAGGCCCAGCCTGACCCCTGCCCTCCCACAGGGCCGTCATCTACCTCAACATCCAGGTGGTGAAGGGCCAGCGGAAGGTCATCCGCCTCCTCAAGGAGCAGATCAGCAATGTGGGTGCCCCCTCTGGCCCCCCCTCCTGCCCCTGCCCCCTGCCCCCCTCCTGCCCCCTGCCCCCTGGGGGTGGGTTCTTCAGGGCCTGGGGCCAGGTAGGGGGCGGAGCGTGGGGGGTGCAGAGCAGCCAGGAAGAGAGCCCAGCTCCGCCCCCATTGCTCTGGGAGCTGGGACCCTGGGCTGGGCCAGGCCAGGCCCTGCTGCCGGTCCGCAAGGCCGAGCCCTGCCCGGGTCCCAGCTTTGGGGGCTGCAGGTCTGAGCCCAGGTCTGAGCCCCACCTTCCTGGTGGGGCCGCGGCTCACTCAGCGAGGCCGTGCTGCCTTCTGCTCTCCAGACTGAGGTGGTGGGTTGCGATGTGTAAGCCACTGGCTCTGTGGTGATTGGTTAGAGCAACAGGGGGAACGGACACCAGCCCCATGACAGGCGTTCTTACCCCTTTCACACGGTGACACGGTGACACGGTGACACGGTGACGGGCGGCGAGGAGGTTTGCCGGCAGCTCCTCAGTGGTGGGGCCTGGGCCCTTCCCCTCCCCTGGGCCACTGGGAGCACAGGCCTGTGAGCACCCCGCTGCCCGGCTCTGGGGGCGCAGGCCTGTGAGCACCCCGCTGCCCGGCTCTGGGGGCGCAGGCCTGTGAGCACCCCGCTGCCCGGCTCTGGGGGCGCAGGCCTGTGAGCACCCCGCTGCCCGGCTCTGGGGGCGCAGGCCTGTGAGCACCCCGCTGCCCGGCTCTGGGGGCGCAGGCCTGTGAGCACCCCGCTGCCCGGCTCTGGGTTGGTCGTCCTCCTTGTCATGGTGCCTCTTTCCCCTTCTTTGCACTTTTCTCACCTGCGAGCTTCCCTGGGGCTGTCTGGATGGGGCGGTTCTGGACGGACAGACGGACATGTCTGCTCTCTCGCCTTCACGTTCCGGCGTTTCTAGGAGGGGGAAGACAAAATCTTCTTGATCAACAAGCTTCACTCCGTCTACGAGAGGAAGGAGAGGAGCGGGTGAGGGCTTCGGGGGCGGCTCTGGTGGGCGTGAGTGGGAAGGACGGCCGGGCGCCTTCCCCAGGGGCAGCGCGTGGCGGGTGGGAGGGAGGTGGCTGCTGGCTCCCGGTGGGGCATTTGGGGGAGGGGCAAGGTGGTTACATTGGTGAGAAAGTGAAGGCGCGGCCTGCAGGGGGCGGGGTGGAGCTGGGCCTCTCAGCCCTTTCCCTCCTTCCTCCCGCCACGCCCTCTCTGGGTAAGTTGGGGGCAGCCTCACTGGCCGTTCTCCCCGTGGGGTCAGCACAGATTCAGCCTCATTGCCCTGGCCCCGCAGGAAGCAGCCCGCCTCACCCCTCAGCACAGTTACTTGTGGTTAAGCCCAGGGAGCGGGAGATGAGGTCAGACAGACAGACAGGCAGATGCCTTGGGCGGGGGGTGCAGGCTGAGCTCCGTGGGCCGAGGTCCCTGGCTCCTCCCGGCCTCCTCCAGCCCCTCATGTCTCTCCGGAGCCTCGACTCTCTGGGTGGCCAGGCGGCCAGGCGCTGCCTCCGCGGGTGCAGAGCCCCTCACCCCCCCCCCCCCCTCCCGCAGGGCTGGCAGAACCCAGGAGGGAGCGGCGCCCCCGGCCCGGCCTGCAGACCATCGGGCAGCCTAGCAGGACCAGGATGGGCCTGGCAGCCCTGCGCCTGCTCACCCACCGGGCTCAGTTCCCACGGCTCTGCAGACCCTGACGCACCCGAGACTGTGTGGCCCCTCAGGCGGCCCTGCTGGGACCCCAGGAAGGTGATGGGACTCACAGCGCATCCAGGGCGGGAGCTGGAGGGTGGCCGAGGGGCTGCGGCGCCCCCAGAGGACCCTGGCCTGCCTGAGCCTCTATTTATTCTGATTAAATATGTTTTGCAAAACGGGCTTGTCTTGTGGGAGTCTGTGCTCAAGCCCCGCTGCCCAGGTGTGTGGGGCCTGCCCCCCTTCCTCCTCCCTGCCCCGGAGTCACCTGCAGGCCTCCCCCCCCCCCCCCCCCCCGCCCCCCGGCCCTGGCGATGACCTGCAGGCCTCCTGCACGTGCCCCTTCAGCTCCTCCTCCTGGCTCTCTCCTTGCCACAGCGGGTCCCCACTGCCTCACCAAGTGCCCGGGTGCTGCATGGGCATCTCAAAGTGCCCAGGCTGTTTCAATACCGACAAACTGGGCTCCAGGGATCAGTGAGGGCGCCCTCTGGTGGCCAAGCTCCAGATGGCAGGACCGGTGCGGCCCAGCTTGAGGGATCCTAGGATCAGCCTGAGCCAGGGGTGCACCAGGCAGGCAGGGACAAGGGGGCGGGGAGGCGAGCCAGGGTGACAAGGCCAGCAGCAGGAGTGCTTTTGTGGTGATGGGGTGGGGGCGAATTTAGGAAGGGGCTGGGGTGACATTTCACTTGTGAATGAGCCATGGGGAGAGGAGCCGGCCAGGCCGAGGGGCAGCGGGCGCCCAGGCCCGAGGCAGGAGGGAGTGACGGGATCCTGCCAGGCTGTTTGCAGAGCCTGTGGGAAGCCATGTGCCGAGGCTGTCACAGCCGCAGCGTCCCGGGACTGCAGGAGCTGGGCAGGGCCCTGGGAGGGGAGCCGGCCGAGTGGCACTGGGGACCACCGTCCCGCATCTCAGGGACCTGAAGAGCCATGCTCGGGCCTGGGAGAGGCGGGAGCCGGTCAGACCCATAGTGATGGCACCCCACATCAGGAGGGCTGGGCTGGCCCCTCCCCAGCGCGTCCCTGGGGGAGCTCTGTGTTTGCAGATGTCCAGGGGCAGAGGCTGTCTGTCGAGGGGGCCCTGAGGCCTACCCAGCGTCACCCCGAGCTCTGAGGGTGGGGACAGCACCGGGTGTCCCTGGCACAGCTGGATCCTGGCTTGTGGCCGCTGCCAGCCAGAGGGTCCCCTGCTAGTATGTGGCACTGATCCCGGGTGGCAGCTCTGGGCGGGCGGGCGGTCCAGAAGGGCCGCGACTGGCCTGGGGTCTCCGGGCCCAGCCCCCAGATGCCTTCCCGCCGGGCGCACTGTTGGTGGGTGGACCTAAGTGACCACGGCCAGCTTCCCGTGCGTCAGCACCGGGCAGACCGACGCCGAGCCACCTCCCTGCCTCGCATCCGCTCCCGCCGGACAAGGGTGCGAGCACGGCAGCTTGTGAGGCCGGCGGGAGGCGGCCGGGCACTCCCTAGAGCGACCGTGTGAGGCCGCTGTTTCCCGGCGCATCCAGGGGCCTCGGGACGGTCCTTTCTAAGCCATCACGCGGCCACCACCCAGCACCCCGCCTGCCTCTCCACGGTGATGCCAGCTAGGAGGTGCAGCTCTGACCATTTCGGCTCCAGACAGCAAGCGGCCCTGTCATGGTGGCTACCAGGCCCCTCCGGTCACGTGGCTGGCACTTCGGACCTCAGCTTTGTCCATGTCCCCCCGACCCCTTGCCCAGTCTTTCCCAATCCCTTCCGGCCTCCCAGGCCCGCGGTGAATGCCTCCTCCTCCGTGAAGCCTGCCGTGTGCGCTGGACGTTCCCTTGGCAGCGACTGTTCTCCCAGAGCCGGGCACTGGCTGTTTGCTCCGTGGGAACCGTGCACGCGCTTGCGGAGGGCGGCTGGTGGCGCTGGAGTGGCCGCGCCAGGCCCATCCCGGGCGAGCAGGTCCAGTGCACTGTCCGGCTGTGTTCCTTCTTCCTCTGGCCTTTCCTCTCCTGATGCCGCCCTCAGTGCTTCCTCCTCAGCTTTCTCGAGCCAGGAGTTCGCCACCTTCCCTCAGGGGCAACGGCCGGGCTCCCGATAGAACCAGGACTGACCCCTGGAGTGGACAGAAGGGGTGCTCCGCCTCTGGCCTCTGAGCGAGGCCCCAGAGGCCCTGGCTTGTGGTCGTGTGTCCAGGGCCGCGCATTCTGGGCCGACAGGCGCTGCGTGAAGGAGTAAGACGTGGGAAACGCAGAAGGCCGTCCTCATGCTCTTCTCCCCAACATTTCTGATGCCCATCGGGGTCCCAGGTAATGTGGGCGGTGGCCCTCGGCGGCCCGTGCCCCGCTGTAGACACAGGCGGGTGTGGAGCTGCTTCCGGTCCTCAGGGTGCCCGGAGCCGGACTGGAGGCCAGGCCTGCTGCACGTGGTCAGGGCCTGGCGGACGATGGCGGGCGCGGGGCTCGAGCACTGCTGCACCCCCGCGGGTCCTGCCTGGGGCTCAGCGCTGACGGCAGAGCCACAGAGCCAGCGGGAAGGTGACAGGCCACCGGGCCCCGGCGTGCCGCTCGCCCCGGTGCAGTCAGAGTGAAACCGCTGACATCCGTCTTTGAGAAAGAAAACACACACTGATTTCAATAGCCAAGAAAGAAATTGCCATTTATTAAGATTCAACAAAGCGTTGTACTTTTGAAAGCAACTTTCGGTGCGTATTCTTCAACAATCACATTCTATGAGGAAAAACATTAAAAGCCACAAACTTGTTTCTTAATCTGTTACAAACATCTTCAAAATAAAAGGTCAAAACAACACCACCCCCCCCCCCCCAACGGAAAACAGAAACAGACAGATTCTTTACTTCCATCCGCGCTGTTCAAACCTCGGCGTTTTCTACAACTCGGCTTGGTGGACGCGGCCGGGCTGTCGGCGCACGTATATTTGATATACATATGCGGGGACACATACATCAAATACAGAGGGTGCGGGGCGGCGCCCCGAGGAAGGCTGTTTCGCTGACACTCCTGGGCCGACAGGCCTGGCCCCAGTCTGTGCATAGTTCGTGATCCGCTAGGAAACCAGCTCTGTGGGCCTGCGACTTCACAGGACCTGCTTCTTCCTTTTTTTTTTTTCTTTTGTTGTTTTGTTTTGATAAAACCATTAAAAAGCGAATTAAAAAAAATGTAATGCACGTTTCCTGACCGAGCAGGAGGGAGCACAATGTTCGTATGTTTTAAACATACTTGAGGGTATGTTACTCCATTGTCTTTCTTTCTTGCAAAACAATGAAAACATTGATCATTTTTAAAACATAAAGCGATTTTTAATATATAAAGCACTCTTCAAACACCTATGTCTTCTGAGTCCGTTATTTGGTAAATATGTAACTGCTACACATTAGAGATTAGGTATTTTTCTTCTTTGAGTTTTTTTCCTCTTTTTTCTTTTTTTCTTATTTTTTTGTTTTTTATAACATCTTCAGTGCTAGGAGTTGGGTTACAAAATACATGGAACGGTGTGGAGCTGCCCCTCGGAACCCTGGCTTCCTGAGAGCGCTTCCGCATGTGCAAGACAGTGAGCACAGCGCCCCGTCCCGGGAGGGGCGCGACAGAGTCCGCGACGATGCCGGAGGGAGAACACTGCCAATCCCAGAGCTCTGAAGTAGCGCGTCCGCATCGGAAAATAGGCGTCTTACGACGGAAGTCTTTTTTTTTTCTTTTTTTTTTTTTAAATTCCTTTTTAAAATTTTTTTACTTTAAAGTCTGAAGGAGAAAAAAGGTCTGTAAACAGGTGGGAGCCCCCGCCATGGGCTCCTCCGAAGCAGTCACCACCCAGTCCAAGTGCTTGTCTCCGTTCCTGCGCGGAACCCACCCTCACAAGTATCTATGGCCACAGTCCACACGTTTGCTTGTTCACGTTCTATTCCCAATGGAAAACGGTGCAATGCTCTGGTAATAGTTCTCTCGCAGTATTAGTCCACAACAGCTGCTAAAGGTAGGTGCACATATTATTTCTCCAGAGATACACACTGTAGCTTTAAACGCGGTAACAGAGTCCTTGAGTAAACATTTACACGTGAATTGTCGCCGGCCCTGTCCCACGAGTTCTCGTTAACGTGTAGGATGAGCTGAGGAAGGGCGGGGACACTCAGTGCAAAGTTAGAAGCTAATAGTAACGAACATTTGACCAATGCGCCAACAAACGCATATACTGAATAAAAGGAAACCCACAGTGAAGTCCCTCACGCGCGGCACGCCAACACAGGAGGGGCGCACACACGCTGGTTCCGACGCGCGCCGGCCGTGGCTGTGACCGTGGCAGCTCCGGAGCCGGTGCGCCCGCCGCCGACCTGGGTGTGGGTTACACTGAGTGTTCACATTGCGTATTGGCCTGCTGGATTCAAGTATTTGCATGTTTGATATGTCTTTTTTTTCAACTTTTAAAAAATATTTTTTGGGATAAAAAAAATGACATGAAAAAGTAATGGAACAAGGGTAATGTGCATAGGCGGATCCGTGGGGACAGAGGACTTCGCAGACCGGCCTGCCGCTCGGCTCGCCGTGGGGCCGCCCGGAGGCCGCGGCCGCTCGCCCGTGAACGCCAGCTCCCCTGATTACGGGGTCCGCCTCTGGTAATGTGCATAATCGTCACAGGCTCGTTAAATAGGCTTTCTCGTCTCCCTCCCTCCCGCCCCCCTTGATAAAATAACCCTTTCCAGCCCACAATCTGAAAAGTGCCCTTCATGATAGAACTATTCTAAGCAGCTTTTATACTTAAAAAATCAAAATGACAACACACCGTACAAATATAAGACAACACAAAATAAAAAGCTATGAGAACATCCTGTCATTAGCATGTGACACTGGGCGCAGCCCGCACTGTCTCGGGAACAGTTCGCAAGGGCTGCGCAGGGTTCGTCTTCAGTACTGGACAGAGGTACATGGAAGGGCTGCGGGCTGCGGGGCCAGCGGCCCGCACGCCGCCGGGCTGGAGAGGGCCAGCTTTGCTTCCTAGTGCTGATGACTGGTGCCCACGGTCCTCGGGCCTAGATGGACTCCCCACTAAGGAGGTCGCCGGGGAGCAGAGTGTTCAGCGGGGTGGGGCTCCCGATCACCCTGGCGTCGTCGCTGCTGGGCGGGCCCCACAGGCTGCTGGAGTACTGGGGAACCCCGCCCCACAGCAGGTCGCTGCTCCCCTTGCTGGCCAGGCACGGGGCGGTCCAGTGGCCGGCGTCGCTCCGCACCAGGCCGTGGGCGCTGCCCGAGGCCCCCAGCCGCGCCTGGCTGGTCCCGCTGCTGGACTGCCAGCTGGAGGTGGGCGGCAGCGCCTGGCCTTGCGCTAGGAAACGGTTCACTTCTTCTTCGCCAGCAAACTCGGCCAAGATGGTAGTGTTTCCCAGAACACACCTGAGAGAGAGAACAGAAACAAAACTGAGATCCAGAGTTCTGAAAAGATAAACAAACCCAACAAACCTTGCATGAGACTAACTAAGAAAAAAAGAGCGAAGACTCAAATAAATACAATCAGAAACGAAAGAGGAGGCATTACAGCTGACACCACAGAAATACAGGATCTGCGAGACGGCTGTGGACAACCATATGCCAACCAATTGATGACCTGGAAGAAATGGGTAAATGCCGAGAAACACACGACCTACCAGGGCTGAATCATGAAGGAACAGGAAACCTAAACAGACCAATAACCAGAACTGGCACCGAAAAGCCCAGGACCAGCTGGTGTCATTGGTAAGTTAAGGAGAATTAACGCCCATCCTCTTCAAGCTCCTCCAGAACTGAAGAGGAGCTAATGCTCCCAAACTCATTTTATGAGGCCAGAATATCCTGATACCAAAGGCAGACAGACACCAGAAGAAAACTACCCCTGGTTACGGAACGTGGATGCAAAATTCTTCATCAAGTATGAGCACACCCCACCCAACAGCACATTGGAGGGTCAAACCCCATGCAAGTCAATAAATGTGACATCACAACAGAATGAAAGGTCAACATCACACCATCATCTGAGTAGATTTAGAAATGGCATTTGACAAAACACACCATTCTTTCATGATAAATGTCCTCAACACACAGGGTATAGAAGGACATCACCAAGGCCACAGGACACAACGAGCAGAGGTGGAAAACTTTCCTCCAACATCAGGAACAAGACAAGGGTGCCCACTCTCACCACTTCTATTCAACACAGCACAGGAAGTCTTAGAGCAATCAGGCAAGAGAAAGAAATAAAAGGCATCCAAATTGGAAAGGCAGAAGTAAGACTATCATTGTTTACGGATGACATGATCTTATACATAGAAAATCCTAAAGACTCAACCAAAAGACTATTGGAACCAACCAATGAATTTATTAAAGTTGCAGGATATAAAATCAATAAACAGAAAACAGTTGCGTTTCTATGTCCTAATAATGAAATTCTGATAAAAAACAAAAACCAAACAAAAAAACCCCACCCCATTTACAATCGCTAAAAACAATAAAAACATTTAGGAATAAATTTAACCAAGGAAGTAATAGATCTGTACAATGAAAACGGCAAGACTTTGATGAATAAAATCGAAGAAGATACAAATGGAAAGATATCCCATGTTCATGGATCAGAAGAATTAAAAGAGTTAAAATGTTTATACAATCCACAGCCATCTATGGATTCAATGAAATCCCCATAAAGGACCAATGGCATTCTGCACAGAAATAGTAAAAACAATCCTAGCGCTTGTATGGAACTACCAAGACGCTGAATAGCCAACGCGATACCGATAAAGAAAAACCAACCTGGAGCCATCACATTTCCTGATTTCAAATACACTCCAAAGCTCTAGCCAGCAAAACAGCATGCTCCCGGCACAGAAATGGACGGACCAATGGAGCAGAACAGAAAGCCCAGAAACAGACCCCACATCTGCAGTCAACTAATACTCGACAAGGGCGCCAAGGGTGTTCTGGAGAAGTCAGTCTCTTCAGTGAGCGGTGCTGGGGAACTGAATCGCCGCATGTAGAAAGATGGAGCTGGATCTCTCGTTCAGATCACCCATAAAAATTAATTCTAAATGAGTTAAAGGCTTAACACTAAGACCTGAAGCCATAAACTCCAAGAAGAAAACATAGGAAAAAGCTCCTTGACATTGACCTTGGCAGTGATTTGTTTTGTACGTGACAACCAAAACACTAGCAACAAAAGCAAAAATCAACAAGTCAGACTATGTAAAACTAAAATCTTCTCAAAGCAAAGGAAACCATCAAGAAAGTGAAAGGACAACCCATGGAATGAGGAAAAGGACTTGCAAACCATCTGATAAGGGCTGCCGGGCTGTACACGCTCTCCGGGGGCCTTTCCCGAGTGGAGGGCGTGGCCACAGCAACTCGGCAGGCGACACGGACACAGCGCAAGACACCTGCTCAGGGTGGATTGTCTCCTCAAAGCACATGCTGAAGACCTAACCTCCAGGACCTGCAGGTGTCCCTGTATTTGGAGAAAGGTCTTTGAAGGACAATGAAGGTGGAATGAGGACATCAGGGTGGCCCTTGCCCACTGTGGCTGCTGTCTTTGTAAGAGGAGGTATTTAGGACACGGTCATCCTCAGACAACCCCGTGGGGACACAGGGAGAGGGTGGCCATCTGCTCGCCAAGGAGAGTGCCTCGGAAGGAACCAGCCCTGCTGATGCCTTGACCTGACTTCCAGCCTCCAGACCACAAGACCGTCAACGTCTGCGCGTGTGGTGCTGACACGGGGCGGCGAGGGCGGGAGGACGTACATGTGCAGGGACTTCTGGGCCTTGGCGGCTTCCTCCTTGGAGCTGTACCGGACCACGGCGTTGCCTTGCGTCAGGTTCAGGTGGAATGTGATGAGCGGCCCGTGCTGCAGGCACAGCGTCCGGAGGGTGGAGCCATCGATCTGAGGGGGAGCAGAGGGGACGGTAACGAGCTTCCCAGGACTTCTCCCATTACGTTCTCCACAGAAAACGTGCCTGAATCCCGGCCACTGAGCGCCGGGACCATGCTGTTCTCCACGGGGCTTACTTCCCTTCTGCTGCGCTGGGCTGTGGGATGTAAACCCCTGGGGCCTGGCGGTGGTTTGATGGCACCACCCAGAGGGAGCAAGCCGTTCTGGCTCTGGCCCCTCCGCAGAGCGTGCCACACAGGCCCGCGGGTCCCGGCAGCCTGGGCCCGAGACCCGGGAGGGGCACAGGCCAAGTCCCCCGTGGGTGGGTACAGTGAAGGCGAGCATCTCTGTTTACAGAGGTACAGTTCCCAAGCCTCCAAAGAATAAAAAGTGAACACCTTCCCAGGAACACGGCCACAGGGCTCCGGGCACGCCCCCTCCTTGCTGCCCACACCCCCTCCTTGCTGCCCACGCCCCCTCCGGGCCTGAGGGCGGGCGCCCAGCACCGAGACTGTGCCAGGGACACCGTGCCCCCCACGGTACCTGGGGCGTGAGGTTGCGGAGAACGAGCCAGCTGCTGGTCCTTCCTGAGGTGTCGGTGCTCCAAGCAGAACCTGCACAGATCGGGGCAGAATCGGTCAACTCCTCCCCAGTTGTTTCTCACCCCGCGGCGGCGGCAGAGGGCGCCTGCTAGAGCCACAGCGCGCCTGTCTTTGGCCAGAGCCGGGGTTCCGGGGCAGTGTGGTGGGGCAGCACGTGTCAAGGTGGAACGGAGACCCTGTGCTGGTTGACAGACATGCCCGGGACCCTGTGTGGCCCTGGATGTGCTGCGACGCCCACCTCCCACGCCCTGTGGGTGACCCCCAGGGCCACGCTGACAGCACTGGCAGCTGGAGCCGGGCCTGGAGAGTCTGGGGCACCCTGACCCCTGAAAGCCCTCAGGGTCCAGGGGGCGGGACCGGGCTCCTCAAAGCTGCAGGCTGTTTCCTGGAGGGTGAGCAGAGCAGGAGGGAGCCCCCCCGGCGCGGGAACCCATGCGTACCCGAGGAGTAAGAGCTGGTCCAGCCGAGGGGGCTGGCTCCCCAGGTGGAGGAAGGCTTGGGGTTGGTCAGCCCTGGAGGTGGCCTTGTGGGTGCAGTAGTGTTTCTGGGCACCTTCCACAGCTCGTGAGACAGAGAGGCTTGCGTGTGGGAGGCGGGGCCGGAGGACCACGTCGATTTCATGTCTGATAGTTTACCTAGAAGGACAGGAGGACAGGCACCTTAGAGAGGTCAGTGCAGCACGTGGGACTCTCGCAAGGGGCTCTGGTGTTGCCAACTGTGGGGAAGAGAAGCACCGAGGAGAGCCCACGCGAACCCCGGCGCTGCTCTCTCCACGCCCTGTCTGGACGCAGGGTGCCTCCGACCAGCGCTCCTGAGACTTAACCAGTTTGCTAATGTGCTCACCAGCCGCCTTGCCTCGTCACAGCATGCGCGTGCACATGCAGAGGCCACCCACAATGCCCCAGGGCTCCGGCGACCAGGCAGCACCAGACGGTCCTGCAAGCACCTGGCAGGAAGCTCTGCTCTGCACCCAGCAATCCCGCTTCTTTCCGACGTCTTTTATCTCAGGACGGGCAGTCGTCCACTTCTCCACAGCCCTCCAAACCCCTGGCACAACCCTGCTGCCACACCGACGAGATGGGCAGCGAGGGCCGGGTCCTGTCTCCACTGTGCCTCCCCCGCGCACCCCTCCCCTCCAGCCCCGCCCCGCCCCCGCCAGAAGCCGCTGCATGGAGCCGGAGGAGGGCGGGGCACTGCACAGGGAGGGTGGCTGTATCCACACCGGCACTCTCCCAACCCAGACACACTCAGAGGCCATCCCGGTAAAGAACAGGCCGCATCTCTCCCGCGTGTCACAGTTGCCGGGAGGGAAGTGGGAGACCTAACCCCATGTGTTGGGGACGGTCTGAGTGTTCTTGTGAGTGACGAGCACCCGGGGGAACCTGGCTGTCCTTCACCTGGAGTGTGAGTGTGAACATCAGCCTCCACAAGCAATGACCCCTGCGGCCAGCAGGGAGCCGTCTGCGCCGCCCCCCTCCCGTTCCCCCCGCCCCCCGCTGCACTGGAAAGCCACACGGATGTTCCGTAATCACAGCCCTGCCCACTGCCTTCCACGGGAGCCCGAGTCTGACAGGTGGGCCCAAACCTGGGATCAGGGTTTGCCCAGGAAGAGGTGCTGGGACGGAAAACCAGACTGAGACGAATGAGTGAAGGGTTGGTTGTTCATTTTAACTTAAAAATATTTCAAGTGGAAATCTTTTCACTGAAAAGCTTAGTGGTTAACATTGTGATTTTATGACACCACGCTTATAAAACACGCGTGTTCATAACCCAGCGAAACATCCAGCTCCAGGCCCCTCCGCTTCACTGGAAGCACGACCTGACTGTGCTGCCCCCTGGCTGGAGAAGCGGCTGCCACGCCTGCCCGGAGCCACGCTGCCCGCCCCACAGCGCAGGCCCCCACCGCCCGCCCCACAGCGCGGCCCCCACCGCCCGCCCCACAGCGCGGCCCCCACCGCCCGCCCCACAGCGCGGCCCCCACCGCCCGCCCCACAGCGCAGGCCCCCACCGCCCGCCCCACAGCGCGGCCCCCACCGCCCGCCCCACAGCGCGGCCCCCACCGCCCGCCCCACAGCGCGGCCCTCACCGCCGCTCTTGAGGAGGTAGCGGTTGACGTCCTGAATGGTGGTGTTGATGGTCGGCCCAGTGGGGACACTTCCAGGCGTGACGTCAGGGTCATTCTCGGGATCTATGTTCTGAAGTCCTTTCCACGGAACTCCAGGATGAAATTCTGGGAAGTTTCAAGCAAAATGAAGATCAAAACATGAGTATTAGGTACCTTCACACTGCTTCACGGTAATTTAGGGGAATTTTAATAGTTTGCTAATTAAACCAAAGGGACCATTTTAGACTTCCCTTCAGTAACTCATCAATCCCCTGAACGGGCGGGAAGCAGCGGGACAGTCCACATTAACCTGCTCAGCTGTGAGCTAGCCCGATGATGGCTGGATGGAATGCAGGGCCACAGCCGTCGCTCTCACTGAACTAAGGGGCCACTGGGCCACTGAACCAGGCGCCACACTGCCTACCCCCCACGCTGACCTGACCCAGGCTCTCCAGTGAACAAGGCCAGGCTACGGGGCCACGTGCTCTCCTGGGCGGAGCGCAGGCTGACCTGCTGCTACAGGATGTCGCCCGCTCTTACCTGGGGGCCAGTTGATGCTGGAGCCATTTGAGATTTTGTCACTGTCGGATTTGGCACGTGACCAGCTATGGGGGACCGCTACTGGAGGACTGGCTGGTGACTCGCTGTTCTGGATTAAATCGTACCGGCCATAGGAGTCGTCAATGGAGGACTTAGCTGGAGGCCCAATGCTCAGACCTCCAGGGATAGCACCTGCCGGCACAGCAGGAGAGAGTGAACAGGGAGTCCGGCCTCCCGCCAGGCACCTGTCTTGTCCTCCCAGGGGTGTGAGCTGCCCGGCTGGGCTGGCCCCTTCTCTGTGAGGGAGTGACCTCGTCCTTGGAAGACAAACTCCTCAGGAACTGCACCCGTCTGTCTAGTTTAGTGGTTCTCAACCTTCCTCACGCCGCGGCCCTTTAATACGGTTCCTCATGTTGTGGTGACCCCCAACCATAACATTATTTTCGTTGTTACTTCATCACTGTAATGTTGCTACTGTGATGAATCGTCATGTAAATATCTGATATGCAGGATGTATTTTCATTGTTGCAAATTGAACATAATGAAAGCATAGCGATTAATCACAAAAACAATATGTAATTATACATGTGTTTTCCGATGGTCTTAGGCGGCCCCTGTGAAAGGGTCCTTCGACTCCCAAAGGGGTCGCGACCCACAGCCTGAGAACCGCTGGTCTAGCTGGACAGCTTGATAAAACGCACCCGTACCCCAGGAAGCTGGCCCAGCGAGACTTTCCAGGGACCAAGTCCGAGTGTCTGTCCTCGGCTCCCTCCAGATGCTGCCCTCACCGCAGAAGGACAAACTGACGCGTAAACTCAGAGCCCTAAGCACGCACCCCCCCACCTCGCCGCGGCCACTGAGCTCCCTCGTGCCAAGGGCAGTGGCAGAGAGCGCGATGCTTCTCTTGGAGTGTTGACATCATACAGCATTTTCTTCTCTGTAGGATGCTTCCTACCGAGAGGGCATTACATACCTGATGACATTTTCTTTGCCGTCTATGCTTCCAGGATGTTTAGAGCTAAGTTCAAAGCTACTAGTGTGACCCTCTCGGACGGGTATTAGCATGTGTGCTCCTCCCCTTCCTAAGCACCGGGTCCTCGTGTTTTATCCTTTCCTTGGAAACAACGTGTGGTCAGGACACTCGAACACTTTGCTGAGGAACAGACGTAACTAGGGCAGCGGCTGGGACCTGGCGTTGCTGCCCTGGGGTTTCCAGTTCCTTCTAGGGTTGCAGCTAAGACCTGGGGCTTGAGGCATCAGGCAGTCTGACCCCTGACTGGCGGGGCCGTGCGCTCTGCGAGGGCGCGGGGTATTCTGACTCAGCTCTCAGCACTGAGCTCTCAGACTGGGTGCCGGGCGAGGGCGTGGCCTACCGTGCTTGCCGGGGTTCTGGTCGAGAGGAGAAGCAGCACCGGAGACGTTATCCATCGGGTTGGGGTGTGTCCACTGCGGGAGGCGCGACTGGGACTGAGACGGGTCCTTCACCGCCAGGCCGCCCGTCATGTCCATGCTGCTGACATTCACGTTTGGGTTCAGTCCAGCTGAGAGGGAAAACACTGTGAGAGAGGCCCACTGGCCTCAAAATGGCCGCCTTCTCCGGCTCTCCAGACAGAGGCTCAGAGGACAGGCCGCTGCCAGGACGCTGAAGTCAGGGCATCCTAGGGCCATGATGGAACTGAATTTGTTCCTAAAACAACTATTCTTAAAAAAAAAGTGCTGCCACGAACAGCTAGCACTTCACAAAGGACTCGTTCCATGCTGGGCGCTATCCTTGGAACGTTCCATATTAACTCATAAAGAACTCTCGGAGGGAAGCATTCCCACTTTACAGATGGGCAAACGGAGGCAAAGAGCTGCCAAGGAAGTTGCACAAGTGGTGAGCCCCTCGGTAGTGGAGGTGGGACTCAACTGCTAGGCTCTTCCGCTTCCTGAACAGAGGGCCGCGATGGGCTTGCGCGGTGCTGCCTTGAAAGATTCCAGGCTGGAAGTATTTACAGCAAAGCTCCCGTCCCTCAGAGGGAAGAAGCCGAGGCGGCCGCTCTCAGGCTGCTGGGAACGGTGTGTCCCCCGCGACCCCTCCGTGGTGACCCCAGGCACCTGAGCCGGGTGGTGGCTGACGTGGAGACTCACCGAGAGGGTAAGGAGCAAAGGTGTTGGGCGAAGACTGCTGCTCTTTGGTCTGCAGGTCGGGCAGGCCGGGGGCCTGGGGGTGCGGGGGGAAGCTGTCCATGGCCGATTTGCCTGCAGAGGGGTGCAGAGACAGGTGCGGCGGGGGCGGCGGGGGCTTCACGAGCAGGGCCTGGGCCAGCTGGCGCTGCTGCTGCTGGATCTGCTGCTGCAGGTTAGTGATTGTACGCGCGACCTGGCGGCAGACACATGCATGTTAGGGGGGAAGTGACGCCGCCCGTCACCTGTGTGCCAGTCTCCACTGCATTTACGCCTGGGTCGACCTCCCCCCAAATCTAGGTGACCCCGAGATTATAAAAGGGAGGCTTAACCCATCAATTAGTGCCCCTGGAGCAGGGGGACTAGAGCTCAGGGACCCACAAGCCGGCGACACCCACTTGCTGCTCCTGCTGTCTCATGGGTCCGGACACATTCCGCTGGGCCTGTAGCATCTGCTGCTGGATTTGTAAACGTTGGTATGCCTGCAACAGAGGTCAGAGCACCGTGAGGAAGCCGAGGGTCCTGCACACTTGCTGAACAGCACAGGGAGAGCGGCCCAGTCTGTCCCTCGCACTGATGTTTCTCTCTATTCCTCTCTGAAACTAATGAAAACGTGTCCCGGCGAGGCTAGAAAAACAATGATGAGGCTCCACCAGCCTCCCTCCGCAGGGACCCCGAGAGAACTGAGTCCTCATTACTCTGTAATAAAGTAGCTGTAACTTCTCTCTTGCTTCTGGGATATGTGTGTATCCCATCCTCAGAACGGTCACTGCAGTGCCTCTTCTGTGTCTGTGGCTGAGACGGGGAAGGGGTTGAAAGCTCAGGCTTCTACATGCCTGAGAGATCAGGGAGGTGCTGTGCGCAGGCAGGAGCCAGAGTTGGCTATTTATACAACACCTGTAAGTGAAAACCTTTCTGATTCTCCTCACAGTTCATAATGGAGCTGCCTCAATGATCAAGCAGGGCCTGCTGACGGCTTCTCAGGCAGGCGCACGCTGCGGCCGCTCCCCGCGCTGCCTGCCACCTGGTGAGCACCAGGGGGCGCGCTTCCTCGTCCCCGAGCATGGCCGAGGCGGGGTTGTCACTCACCAGCTGCAGCTGATAGAGCTGGTTCAACATCGTCATATGCTGAGGGTTAATTGGCGAGGTTAATAGTGCAGGGTTGAGACCAATGTTTTTTGCTGCAAACTGCAAAAGCTGTGCTTGAACCTGTGCAAACAAACACACCGCGAGGCACCGTGTCACTTTTAAAACGTTTCCGTGTCTGTGTAGTTCCCGATTAATTAAATGACAATTATATTTGTCTCTCGAGTGAACTTCAAAAGCCACTGAAACATTTGAGGACCTTTCAATATTAGTTAACAGGCGTTTGTGAAGAATAAGGAAGGAGGGAAGGAGAGGAGGGAGGGAAAGAAAGAGGGAAAGAGAGCTCTCCCTTCAAGTACGTATTCTAGTCATGAGCTAACTTCCTAATTTCTTCCCTAGGAGTGACTCTAGGTCGTCCACCGAGTGAGTCTATGGGCCAATGGAGGGCGCAGGGGAGGCGCAGGGAGGAGGGCGGCTTCCCTCCCCACCGCACCACGCCCCCCCCCCCAAGAGGGTCTCGTCCCAGGGTGGGCAGCAGCCCCTTCTCAAGTGGGTGTCCTTGGGAAGTGGTGCCCCTGCTCACGGGAGCAGACACCCCTCGGTGGGCACATGTCCCTCAGCCTCCCCTGTGGCACCTGCACCTGTGTGACTCTGCCAGCCTGACCTTGTCTGTCAAGGGCGCCTCTGCGCCTGTAATTTGACAGATCGGGGCTGGGCAGTGGCTGCTGCCCTGCTCCCCACGGCATGCCCTGCCCACAGGGCACGGGTGCAGGACGGTTTTAGGCACAACGTGGCGAGTGGTTTTTACGTTACGAGTTGCTGAATGTGCACGAGAAACATGGCTTTCTCTATTAATGGTAGGGAGGTAACGTTTACTTGAAGAATAAATCTACTGAAAGGAAGAGGCAAGTTGACTGACGGGAAACATTCCGAGTGGGGTGGTGGGCAGCCGTGTCTGGGCGTGGAGGAGTCTGCCGCCCGTCCCTGGGCCCTCCCTCCCCTGCAGGCTGGAGTGGCCGTGTCACCAGACCGGGGTTGTCCCAGCATGCTGCTTGGCAGGGGCCTGGCCTGCCCGGCAGCTGAGGCACCCCGAGGTGGCTCTGAGACCCTCGGGGTGCGGGAAGCCGGCTGTGGAGGAACAGGGCAGGGCCTGCTCTCCCTGCAGTGCTGCCTCCATAGCGCAGGACCCCGCGGGGCTCCCCGAGACCGCACTCGGGCCTGACCTGAGGGGATAGAAACTGAGGCACTTGCGCACGGAGACTGGGCTGGGAGGGGTTCAGCGGCGGCCCGGGCGGCGGCGGCGGCTGCAGGGTCCTGGCTTGTGCTGCTCCGCTGCTGCCAAACACGCCCAGATTGCCACTCGGTATCTGCGGGGACGAGGGACGAGGGACGGGGTCAGAGCCGCCGCGCAGCAGCACGTGAGCGAGTGACCTGTTTCCTACGCAGAACGCCACGCGGCGTCGACTCCTGGCAGTGTGCAGCCGTGGCTGTGTTAGCGCTGCTCCCACGGTCACGGGTGGTGGGGAACCAGCCTGGGGAGCGGGCCTGTGTTTAACCACAGAAGCACCGAGACGAGACTATCACGGGAGAAGCAGCGGGTAATCCAGGGCTCGGGGTGAGGCTAGCGCACACGGCCCGCTCCCAAGGGCAGCGGACAGGGAGCATGAGGGAGGCGCCTGTGTTCACAGCGAATGGAACTACGATTCCACAACAAGCGGTGAACGGGCACCGCCAGGCGGTTCACGTGGACACTGCACTTCCCGCTGCGACAGGCGCTGGGCAGGACCCCCCACCCCCCTGCGGGCATCCCACTGAGCCACGGTCGGCTATGTCAGACCCCGAGGGTCAGGCAGATAGTGGGAGACACACTGCTGATCATCAGCCTGACAACAGGCAGGCGGGGGGCTGCTCGCCCCCCCTAAATGTCACAGCATCTACTGAAGAGAAGTCGTGAAGGTGTGTGTGTGGCAGCCTCATCAGGAGGACAGGCACAAGAGGGACGCCCTCCAGATGGGACAGGTCCTCCCTCCAGCGACGGTAACAGCGATTCACCTCCCGAGGCTGTCACCTCTGGTTCTGGGACAAGGGGAGGTGGTGGTCCCGGGACCAGCGTAGCGAAGGCTCGGTGCGCGCCCAGGTCTGGCCGCGGAGGCTGCTTGGCAACGTGCTCCATTGGAAGAGCAGCGAGCGAGCCCCGAGGGCTGAGCTCTGGTGCATCTCAGTTCCGGGAAAAACATACAGGCGTGCAGCACCCCCACATGACCACCGAGGCCTGATCCCCAAAGGCACTCCTTCCAGCACTCCGACCCGCACGCTCACCGCCTCAGAGCACGGAGCGGTGCTAGTTAAAGTAAGAGGGACAGGCTCCCCCGCCTTACCTGTCGAGAAGAATTCAAGTTTTGCATGCCCAGCCCTGAGGCAATCCCGCCCAGGGCCTGATTGGGGAGTGCACTGTTTGAAAGGGGGGGCTTCAGGCTTGGCGAAGGCAAAAATGGTGAAGTCGTGGGCTCTTCCACGAGGCCGCCGTCCTGGTTGGAGAGAAAGGGTGAGCTGTGCAGTGCCCGTCGCACGGAGTGCAAAGCCGTTTCCCAAGGACACACAGGCACGCGCGTGAGAAAGAATTCAAAGAGAAGGAAAGCGGACAACGGAGTGAAGACCGTGGGCAAGAGGAGGGAAGAGCAAAGAGAACCAGGGTCAAGATGCTGTTTTCACGCCCACAATTATTTTACAAACACATACGTTAGCGCCTCCCCTGCACCCGCTCTGAGCCTGCCCAGGGAATCAGGAGACAGAGCAGAAATGGGTTTGGAAACCCTTTGCAACCATTTCCACTGAGCAGCTCCTTCCAAAGGTGCTGCCCAGGCTCTGGGTGGGCTCGGGGCGTTCTGCTGACAGCCCGTGGCTTTAGACCGACACACACAGCACCTCGTGTGGGCCAATCTAATAAACGGGGAGCTAGACAACAGACAGGATCCTATAGGGTTTTTACAGTCACTGAGGTGATGCTGTGTCAGACCCTTTGCAAATTCCACTCATCTATTCTCCCAACCAGCCTGCAGTATTACCCACCAGGTAAAGGTAAGGAAACCAGACAGGCTCCCACACTCAGCAAATGAAAATACAGGATGCCGAGCTGACTTGGAATTTCAGACAAAGAACAAACAACATTTTAGAATCCAGTACGCTCCAAAAATTGTCTATCTGAGATCCCAGCATCACTGGGCACTGTGGCGCGGAGCCCCGGCCACTGATGCAGGGCCGGGCCACAGGCCTCACCCCTCTCTCCACGGGGGCGCGTGGGGCCAAGGACCCCGCTTCTTTGAGAACAGAGAGGAGCCCCCTCTCCTCCTGTGAGCCTTTCCTTCTTTCCTCGTGTGTCCTTTCTGCCTTCCAGCTTCTCTCCCAGGCTCTGCACTGGACTGAACCAAAGGGGAGGCCTTGTGGTCACACCCTCGCAGGGGGGACGTCGCTCAAAGGACTGACCAGGGAAGACCGCACAGACACCAGCACGCGGTCTGACGTGGCCGAGCCAAGCCAGGGCCAGCAGCCTGAGCCCCCTCTGCCCCTTTCTCAGGTTCACATGCAGCACGGCACCTCCGCTCGGAAGCAGTGTGCACGCCCACGGACGGGACGCTAGGAGGGGATGCCCCTTGTCTGCTGGACAAGTGGAGGCAGGTAACCCAGCAAGTTCACCCAACACAATGGCAATCAGTTGTCAAATTTAGTACTTTTTACTCCTCGTCACATCACAGAACACGCAGCGCTCCCTCTCTTGGGTTAAACATTTATATCTACTAGAGAGACTGGGAAGTCACTGAAACATCACTGTCCAGCCAGCTCTTCATCTGGCTTCCCTTAAGGACACAGATAAAATGAAAAATGCCACCTCTCACACAGACAGACGAAAGCCCGCCTTCCTACCTTATCAAGAAAGGCGGGGCGGTCCACGGAAGACTCTTTGGAGATTGGTGGGCGGCAGCCAAGGGGCTTGGTGACCATCCCATTGTAGTCGGTCACCCCCAGTCCACGCTTGTCCATGTCCACCTTCTTTTCCAGCAGAGCACCTGCAGCGCACACACAGCCTGAGGCACCGCCCTCGGTCCGCAAACAGAGGCGCTGCTCCCAGCCCTCGCTCCGATGGTGCACCCGCTCCGTCTGGCCACAGTCCCTCAGGGCTCAGCCGTCCTCTCCCCTGGGACCGACCCCTTTGGTGGCCACTTCTCCGAGGGGCCTTCCCTTGTCCCACCCACAGCCACCGATGTCCACGGGCTGGGCCTCCTGGTTGCCAGGACTCTTCTAGCTGCTGGGGACACACCACCACGCAGGAGCGCACTGAACCACGTGCTTCCTGAGGGGCACATCACACACTTCCTCCTCCGCGGGGCCCGCCCTGTCCACCCAACACGTACCCAACCCTCACCCACGACTACACGCACGCGCTGGAAATCAGAACCCCACGCCCGGCGCCTTTCAGCAGCGACTGTCCGTGTGTGACTTACTCATGGCCTGGTCAAGGTTCATGTGATTACTCTTCAAGGCCTCTTCAGCTGGCTCTCTCTGCGGGAAGACGGCTGTCATTAGAGTGGGCGCTGGCACAGGAACGCTTACCAAGAGCTCTAGCAGCCACTCGGGCAGGCCCGCTGCTACCCAGCATGACCGGCTTGGCACGGACGCACCTTTCTTGCCTGTTGACGTTAGAGTTAAATGTCTCACAATAAGACACCTGCCTGAGAAAATGCCCCGTGAAAGGGACTTGCGAGAGCAAAGACTGTGCTGACACTGGAGCCGCACGCGGCTCGGGGCCAGGACTGCGACTGCTCCTGAGCGCCGGCCATCCACAGCCACCGAAAGGGAAGCGCCGTCTGACTACAGACGTGGAGACAGTTGGCGGGACTGCTGGGCGGACGCAGGGGTACCCCTCGCTCTCTGAGCTCCCACCCTTCGATCTGAGCCACCGAACAGATTGTGACACGTTTTCAGAGGAATAGCCAGCGACCTTGAACTCTCCCTACACATCACCTGGAACTAAACGGGTTTGGTTAGGGTTCTTTTCCTGCAGTTTCCCTTTATACTAAGTTCTCTCCTGGGGTCTCTGTCAATCTATTGCGTACATTAATAAAAACTCACTTTTAATTGTAAATTAAATATAAGCGTATAAGCCACTGAAAATTAAAAACCATAGGACTTTTAATTCTAGAGAAAGGCTCTCGCGCCCTTTCTCATAGAAAGGACACGGCTCTTCGCTGTGGCTCAGAGCACTGCTCCGTAAACAGGGCCCGGGAAGGGGCTTTCCCAGGCAGGTCATGCCAACCATCTCATCCCTTCCTGCTACACAAGTGTGGGCAGGGCAGAGGCCATGCAGGGGCCCCCCGGAGAGGGGCGGGCAGAACAAGACGCAGTCACCGGGAAGCCCATGTCGGTGAGTTGTTTGATGAGCCGGTTCATGATCCAGGCCTCGTCCTGTTTGCCAGATGTCTTCATGCCCTGGAACGAAGCGAGGGCGAGGGGGTCTGTGAGTCACGTTTCCAGGACTTTCTTCTAGACATGGGGAGACCTACACTCGGGGCCTCTAAAGCCACAGAAGCCTTTTGTATTAATGTTGAGCTTTGGGGTGCATTTGAGGTGGGCATGTGTGAAGTTCATGGACTTAAAAAAGCATGATCATCTCTTCCCCGAGGATGGATTCAGTTCAGCATAAGTGCGTGTCACTTCCACTACAAGTATCGCAGTGAGTGCTCCCTGGGAGCCTGCCCTCTGCTAGCACTGCACCCACTGCCAAGTTTACTAAAGCCACAAGCTTTGCCCTTTTATAAGCTTTACCCTAAAAGGCAGCAGAACTCAGGGGGCTCCTTCCAACAGAACAAAACACCTCTTAATTCTATTAACTATTCACTGCTTACAGCCCCAAGGGGAGGGAAAACAGCGGAGGAAGGAGGGAGAGGAAGGAGGGAGGCAGATGCGGGGCAGAGGGGTTCCCTCCCTCTGGGACTGCAGGCTCACCCCACATGCCACCTAACCACGGGAGGCTGCTCTGCCCTCGCAATGCCCCGGCTCGCCGGGGCCCAGTCTCAGGGACCAGGGTGGCATTCCTGGGGCCCCAGAACTGGATGATTTGCCAGCCTGCTCGTGGAAGGACTGCTGTGCGATGCCTGCAGTCCCATCTACTCCTTGTCTTGCTGACCACTGAATGCTCTTTCAAACTTTTGGCAACAGTTACTACATTGATATGCTTTGAAAGTAGAAAAAACGGACACACGAAAGCACCTTCTTGCACCCCCTCCCACCCGTTCTCGTTCTCTCCAAGGGCAAAGCACTCTGAGCAGTGTCTTACCTACCCCCGTGGAGACCTTCCAATTCCACAGAAGCTGCAAGTGTGCACGCACGCATGCACACACACACACACCCCTTTCTCTTCTCTTCCCCTCCCCACCCTAAAGTGATATGAGCCTATAGTACTATACACAAAGGTATTATACTCGCTTTCCTGTATCTTACCTTTTTTATTTAACAACATATATTGGTGATCTTTTCATATCAATATATAGAATTTCTTTTAAAATATCTGTTTAACTTTCTATAATACGGATGTGGCATAATTTAACTAGTTACCCCATCAATGTACATCTAAGTTATGTTTTTTCTTTTTTAACCAAAAAAAAAGCCACAATAGAAGACTGTGTACAAATGCCATTCGCTAGCCCCATGACCACGGGAAGCACTGCGCCCGGCCTGTCACGTGGACTCAGTACCCCTGGCCTCTGCTGGGTGGCGCTAGTCCACACCCACCGGCCGGCCGGCGGAGACAGCTCTGAGGGCTCTGCAGGCAGAGCGTTTATTCCGTTCCGCATCTCCGCTGGTTGGAGATGAACAGTGGCACCTCTCACACTGTTTTAAACTGAACTTCCCGCAGGTCAGGCTGCTGTCCTCCCCTCTGTTTAAGGGCTATTTGTATCCTTTTCTAGAAATTACCTATTCACATTCTTTTCATTTTTCTATTGGGTTACTGGTTGACTTAAAAAAATCAGCCCTAGCCGGCTTGGCTCAGTGGATAGCATCAGCCTGTGGACTGAAGGGTCCCAGGTTCAATTCTGGTCAAGGGCACATGCCTGGGTTGCAGGCGCGATCCCCATTAGGGGGCGTGCAGGAGGCAGCCGATCAATGATTCTCTCTCATCACTGATATTTCCATCTCTCTCTTCCTGTCTGAAATCAATAAAACATATACATATATATTACAAAACCAATGTCTAGGGCCCCTTTTACACTTGATCTTAGCCAAAAGGCCGAGAAGCGACAGGACCCTTTTTGAGAGACCAGGGCCATGGTCGGCAAACCGCGGCTTGTGAGCCACATGCGGCTCTTTGGTCCCTTGAGTGTGGCTCTTCCACAAAATAGCACGTGCGGACGAGCACATATAGTGTGATTGAAACTTCGTGGCCCATGCACAGAAGTCGGTATTTTGCGGAAGAGCCGGTAGTTTGTGGAAGAGCCACACCGAAGGGGCCAAAGAGCCACATGTGGCTTGCGAGCCGTGGTTTGCCGACCACTGGACTAGGGCGATCCCAGCTCTGTGACCTGAGTCACAGATAACTTTCCTAGTGGTTGTTTCCTGCTTTGAATGTGGTGTTGTATGTCACGCAGCTCTATCTTTACCAATCCCGGTTTGCCAGCTTCCCTTTCTGGCTTTAGAAAGGCCTCCCTCTCCGAGACTATCCTACGCCTCCTTCCCGTCTTCCCTTCCCGCCTTAGACTGAGATCTACGTGGCAGTCTCCTGTGCACACATGGCTTCGGCTTTTCCAGAGGCTGCCTGCTGGGGGCAGCCCCGGGCCCACCGCCCTCTCTCTTAAAGAGGAAGGAGCCTAACAGGTCAGCGGCACCGCACCCGCCTCTGCTCCGCGGGGAGAGCAACCCCGCGCTCAGGAGAGGCCGGGAAGGGCCTCAGGACTTGGCAGGGCTCAGGCCCACCCCCCTTCGCTGCAGTGACGCTGCTGGATTGCTGGATGGGAGTGTGTTAGGCGACTGTTAGACCCTCTTTGGGGTGCGCACACCTTTTGGAGTCCTTTTTTGGGGGCGTTCCCCCAGGAGCTGCAGGAGGAGGAGCTTTCCTGGGAGGCAGCACTGTTCCACATGCCCCCTTCTTCGTCATCCCACTGACTGGGGCCGAGGCTCATGTCGTCCCCACCACTGCCCCAGCCTTCTTGCATAGATTTTGAAGCTAGAAAGAGAGTGAACAGGAACTTGTCAAATTCCCCATTCCCGCGGCAGACAATGCTCGCCGCAGCGCCACCTCCCCTCCCCACACCTGAGCGCGGAGCCCCCACGGGCCGCGTCCTCTCCAGGCCGGCTCTGAGCAGCCTGTGCGTCTAGCTCCCGGGACTGACCACAGACCACGCTGGAGCCTGAGCTTCTACACTGGACCCTGCGGCCCAGGGGAAGGCAGCGGCCTCCACACGGCAGGAATGGCCACTGACAGGCAGAGTCTTCCAACGCCACTGCCCTCCGGGGGGCTAGCCCCCGCCTGCCCCCACCGCAGCAGGCCGCTGTGTGGACGGCCAGTGCCCCCCACGTGCCCACCGCGCCGTGGGACCCCGAGGCCTGCGGAGGCCCAGGAGCGCCTGCTGCGGACCGGCTCCCGGAGTAACCGGGAGGAGGCAGCCAGGCCTCAGGCAGGTGGCCCAGGCTGAGCGCCGCCTCCACTTCAGGGTCTATGTCTTCTCCTCGCTTAAAATACAGTGACTTTTGTATAAAATTTATGTAACATTCTCACTTCCTGGGAAAGCTGGAAGCCACAGATGAGGCGGCCCACCGCACAGTCCTGGAGACGGTCAGTCAGGCCATGAGATGTGAGGCTTACCAGGCAGACAGGCACCTGACAAGTGTGCCGCCTGCCACCGGTCTGTGACCCTGAACCCCGGAAGCTGCCTGCTCCCTCAGGTTCGAACAAGGAGGAACACGGGTGCAGTGAAGAGCCCAGCAGGGTCTGTGCCGGCGAAGGAACAAACTCTAAGCTAGTCAAGCTGTATTTTTTTTAGTCAAATTGCAATTTAAGAGCTAAGACACGTAATGATGTCCAAGGAAAATGTGCAGCCTCTGCAGCCATGTGGACAATTTTACCATCAGGCTTCAGCCAGCAATCACACCAGTGGTAGAAACCGCACTGCCACACCCGCCCTGAGAGAGGCCCTGGTTAAGCTGCTCTGAGCATCTGTAAGCTGTGTACTTTATACGGGCACTTCTTACACTTCAGTCAATGGGTGGGAAATGCAGGACATTTTTTCTTCCCTTTAAAAAACACACCACAAAACAAAAACCACACACACACACACACACACACACTCACACACACTCACACACACACACACACACACACACACACACTCACACTCTCACACACACACTCTCACTCACATGCTCAGTCACACTCACACACACTCTCACCCACACACACTCTCACCCACACACACACTCTCACCCACACACACTCTCACTCACATACACTCTCACCCACACACACTCTCACCCACACACACTCTCACCCACACACACACTCTCACCCACACACACACACACACTCACATACACTCACTCACACTCTCACACTCACACACACTCTCACTCACACACACACACACACACTCACACACACTCACTCACACTCTCACCCACACACACACACTCTCACACACACTCTCTCACACACACACACACACACTCACACACACACTCACACACACACACTCACTCACACATACACTCACACACACACTCACACACACTCACACACACACTCACATACACTCACTCACACTCTCACCCACACACACACACTCTCTCACACACACTCTCACACACACACACATACACTCACACACACACTCACACACACTCACACACACACTCACATACACTCACTCACACTCTCACCCACACACACACACTCTCTCACACACACTCTCACACACACACACTCACTCACACTCTCACACACACACACACACACTCACACACACTCACACATACACTCACACATACACTCACACACACACTCACACACACACACACACTCACACATTCACACTCACACTCTCACAAAGAACAAAAAGAGAGAAAGATAAAAAGCACGGGCCTGGAGTGCCCACAGAATTTGTTGCAGGCCCAAGGCCAGGCAGTGAGGTGGCGCAGTGCCGTGCGCTTCAGAGCCGGGCTGAGCGGGGAGGGCTGCCACGAGCCGTGTGCCAGGCACACCGCCGATATTGTTCTGGTTCTTTCATGGGTTGATTTTTTAAAGGAAAGCTGGGCTTCTGTTGAAGCTCCGTGGTGCTCACGTATCGGACATGGCCAGTATTTCTTTCCAGTCTGATGTGTAAATAATGTTGGAGTGTAAATAAAATGAGCAAAGTGGCCTGAAGGTTAATTGTTAAAATTCAATGGAAAGCACCCCTCTAAATAAAACACTCGGTACCTGGTTTGCACAGGGCTGGGGTGGCGGCAGGCACCCCGGCTCTCCCGAACGGCACGGCCGGCTCGGCGGGCTGGTCTCCCCATCCGCTGCCGCTGCTGGGCGGCTTGCCCCACGCTGCGGTGCCGTTATCCACCAGGGTGGACGGGGAGGCAGGCTCTCCCCAGGAGTTCTCAGCCTTGGAGTGAATGTTGGGCATCTCTCCCCAGCCCGAGGAAACTGAAAGGACGCCATGGGGGAGAGAAAAAGAATGAAAGTGAAACAGAGGCCGGAAACACGGTCATTTCAAATCCAAAACAGTGTGAGACCATCTGTCTTAAAGAGCTTTTAGAAACGAAAAGGAGACATTATGTCTAATCAGGTTTGTTTAGCTTCTTAAAGTTGCAGTTGCCTCACTCCCGATCCTATCCACTTAGAACTCTACGTCCATACTTTCAACAATAAAGATAAATAAAAAATAAAAAACAAAACTGCAAGTCCATTAAACATTAAAGACCATTACATTCACAGTATTTGCAACACAACAGGATCTGAAAGAACCGTTTAAAACAAATAATTCAGAAGTCGCTTGTTTACTTCTGGTATTCTATGTAACAACCTAAAAGAAATTTTGTTACATTATTTTCTTATAAGAAAAGTTTACAAGTTGCAAACCCATACTGAAAGTTATTTTTGCTTATCTTTGACCAACGCTCAGACACAGATCCAGGCAGAAAAATGGGAAGATGGCAGATTCAGGCACAGGTGAGACAGGGACCGAGTACACAGGTCATCCCCAGGGACCGCCCGGCGGGCTGAGGGAGAGCCCGGCACTTGTCTGACAGACGGGAACCGAGTGGAGGACTGGGGGCCAGGGTGGCTCCGGAGGCACATGGATCGCCGGGGTTTCCCGGGAATTCTCCCTCGTTCCCCTGCTCAGTGCTGTGGCCAAGCATTCTGTTACAACCTCACTCTTCCCAAGCAACACAACTTCTGGCCATTGTGCTCCTGCCCGAGCTCACGAGAGAGACGCTGTGGCTAGTTCCGCTTTCAGACAGGGACTCTCAGGTGGAATGAGAATGTTTTAACTACTAACTGAATAGAAGAACAGAAGGCATGACATGCAAGCAGTTAACCACAGATTTTCAATCATTTGGTTGCAACATGGATATTACCATCTCAATTAGCAAATATTAATTCTCTGACTAAAATTGCATGGAATCACTCCCCGTGCCACTCTTTATTCTAATAAAATACAGTAATATAGATTAATGACCAAAGGACATGCAACTATGAGTCATTTTAAATTACAAGCTCTATGTTGAGCAATATATTATGTAAATTATCACCAATAACAGGGAAGTTAGCTCTAATCAGTTACTGTCAGCAACTGTCAACTAGAATATTACCTGTAATTACACAGAAAACAATAGTGTATGTATATTTGGAAAAGCAGTTTTACAAATTGAAGGGACAAAATTAAATCAGGAAAATTAACATAGCTGATAAAATGATGTGTGCTGTGGAATGATAAGATAACTTAGGGGTTGCTAATGGCCAATCAGTTGTAAGAATACTGATTTATCATAGGTAATTAAATGAAGAATTCACCTAAAACTTGTCATCCTCTACTTCCGTATCTTTAAAAGGCAATACTACAACTCCAAACTACATGTAAACATTTAAGACAATGGTAATTGTAGTTAGTTAATTTTTGCAGAGTTTTTAATTCCTATTAAAGCAGCAGAAATGTCTACAGAGTATCTTTATATAGAAGGCAAATGGTTTGCAAAAGCAGCATGTTTCAAAATCTTAAAAATAAATGGAAAACTAACTGCCTACTAAAAAGTAAAACTCCCAGCATTTCCATCTGAGGTTGATGTCCGGAAAGAACAGAATTTACCTACAGCGCCAAACTAACACCGTCAGAATGTGTGCATCGCCAAGCGTGCCGAAGGCTCTGGAAGAAATGCTAAAAGCAGCAGACTAGATAATTTTGATGCAAAGCAACTATTTCCAGTAGACAGAAAATTACCCTAAATACATGCTGCTAAAATAAAAGAGTAAATGTAATCTCCACTGCTCAGTGGTGGCTGCTGGGGTGACTTGGTGCCCTTGCTAATGATTTTATAGAGGTTGTTTAAAGTTGGGCTTAATGATGTGGGACAAATTACTACTTTATACTTAAATTTTTAGAACATGGGAATTAAAATTTAAAAATGGTCCTTCAAATACAGGGTGGGTGAAAGTAGGTGCACAGTTGTTCACATGCAAAGACAATAATTAATAAACAATACAAAGATGAATGGTGTTTGCATCCTCTGCCCCACCCTGTCCTACTGCTCTGGGCAAAACTTTTCTGCACCGAGTCGTTGCCTCCCTTCTCCAACTGGACAAATACAGTGCTGGGAATAAAACAATAGCAACGAGACGCCCCGCGCATGCCATTGTATTCCATCTCAAATCTACATTTTCACCCTCCTATGAGCACAGGGAAGACGAGAACCTAAGAGGAGGGCACCCAGCAGACCGACATGAAACAGAGCACCAGGCAGCCAGGAGGCCGGGAGCCAGAGCCGGGCGGTCCCCGACTCAGGCTATCATCTCAGGAGAACAGCTAAGTCGGTGGATGGCATTCTTTCTCCGGGGAAAGAAAAAAATCAATTCTAGTTTGTTCCAGGGATGGGATGCTACTTACATCATTTTCTAAGTGTGGCAGGCAGTCCTTTTTGGGAAGATGGTTCAGTTAAGAAGTGGCCAATGATAATTAAGGGGGGGAAGGATAAAGGGCTAATTCAATTGGTGAAGCATCTGAGCGCCTGCTGCGTGCTCAGCATTGCAGGGACTTAAATATTAACGAGGCGGGCTCTGCTCACAGCCAGGGCCTTACGTGCAATGTGGGTTTATTATAGTGCTTGGCTGGCTACTGGCCTGTGCAGACAGAGCAGAACTGGTAGCTGCAGAACTCTCTCATGTCTGACATCAAGATGGGTGTAGAGTGGAGCTCGATACAGAGGGGTCTGCTCAGTCAGGCGGCGAAGGGCGCTGCTTTTCGGCCGCCTGGTTTTGTGCCATTTGTTGGACCCTCTGTCCCACTCAGGGGACTCTAGTTGAAGGCTGCCGATAAGGATCTTTTCCAAAAGCCGGCCACGTGGCCTTGAGCGGCACACGCCTCTCACAAGAGCTTCTGTCTGCCTTACTGTGTCATCAGAAACAAAATTCTTTAGATTTTATTTTAGTGCATTAATGCGGGTTTGGATGTGCTAAGTCTGTCACACTGACACCTGGGGGCCACACTGTATTTTTAACTGTTATGGGTCCATCATTTTGAACTGAGTGTGTGTCCCAGGACTTGCACGGAGGGGAACCTCCCCTCCTTTAGCCTAGTCCCTGTTCCTGCTCGCACCTACCAAGTCCCCCAAACACAGAAAGGTAGAAACACCCTAACCAAACCCAAGCCAAGAAAACCCCGTGGCCACAAAAACACAGCCCGCTGAGCGCATTCCTCGATGGCAACGACTGCATGTGCTTAAAATAGCGTCTTCTGGTGGGGAGGCAGCGGGACCTATTTCTGCAGCACAGCGCGAACACAGCTGAGCTCGAACAGCACCCTGCTGATCAGCCCACCTGCGGCGGCTCTTGTCTGTCTTACACCGAGGATGAAGGAGTGGCGAGCGTGTAGGACAACATTCCCGGCTTCTTCAGGGAAACGACATACCTGTTTACCCACCTCGGTACGCATAACCCTGTTCCTTCCTAGCTTTAGTTTAGGATATGGCTGACCTGCCTCTTCTGTGATTACTGCACATGTCCTCTGCCTGTGGTTACGCTATCTGAGCCAGAACACCAAGTGGTAAGCAAACAGAATGTCACTAGGTTAAGTACCCCAACGCAAAGGCACGTCTCACGCTGCCTGGAGCACAGAGCTCCCGTGAGGATCACAGCTGAAGTGCCCGGACGGCCAGCTGACACTCCTGGGACTGAGCAAGGCAGGGACCAGATGGAAAAGGCCCCGAGCAGGGGCAATGAGCAGTGAGCATGGACTTCGGCTTTTCTGATCAGCACACGCACTAATACTTCACTCCCACCCGCTGCTGCAAGAGGCAACCCCAGGCGAGAGCTCATGCCCTCACTCCACGGTCCCTGGGGTCGCTCAGATCAAGTCCATAATGGCCTCCTATTCGATTCTACTCCACCCCCCAATCCCTTTCACATTATACATGTTTTGGTGAAACCCGAGTTCAGGGATAAAAGCATCCATTTCTGGAGACGCTCCCTCAACCTCATTGCTAGACCGAGTCTCTACTACGAGGATTTGTTATTCACCAAAAATGTTCTTAGTTCGCATTCAGTGTTCTCCCTTGTCTGCAAGTGGATTTCAAGTGTCCAGAATGTTCCTTCCTAAGGGCACTGGATAATGACCTGCTCAGGCCTTCAGGGGCTTTATTTCAGTGCTGACCACACAACAGAACCCCCGTGGAAATCTGCAGTGACCAGTGAACGGGCTTCCCTCCACACTAAGGCACTAGAAATCTGGGGTGGGCTCCCCAGCTCCCCGCTGCCAGGAGCTTCTACTGAGCGGGGGTGGAGGCTGTGTGTACAGAGGACATGGTGGCCAGCTCTCCCGAGAGGACGCGTTCCCTCCGTGCTCCCCCTGCCACTGGCAGTGCTGCAGGGACTCCTCTCGGACAGAAAGCTGCCTGAGCCCCGCTGTAGGTATCGTCTTTGGATGCCACTTAAACACAACGCTAGTTGCAGGGCGTCCATGCCACTGGCTGTAAAAACACGGTTGGAGGACGCATGCCTATGTGGTGAGAATGAGCGTGTTTTACTCTTAAAGAACGCAAGCCCCTTCCATACCTGGGCCGAGCAGCGGCGATCGGGTCAGCGGGGCGCTGGCGGGGTGCGGCGCTGGCATGTCGCCCGCGTTGGCACTGCTGCTGGCGGCGGTGCTGGCGGCCGTGGCGCTGCCCTGGAGGCCCGGGTTGTTTCTGTCCCACATGTTGACAGCTTTGTTGTTGTAGCTGCTCGGGTCTCCCCAAGCTGAGGTACCATCATCAATCTCCATTTTGCGTCGAATGGACGGGGGAGAAGGTTCTTCCCAGCCCGTGGCCTCGCTGCCGTCCTTCTGTCTGACAGGGACGGGCCCCCCGATCCACCCCGTCCCTGTCTGTTTAACGGAAGCGGCCCCTCCCCAGTTACTCATGCTGCTGTCCTGGGGCTTGCTTGCCCAGTTCTGTTGGGGGCCGGGTTTCAAAGACTCTCCCCAGTTTGCCCCTGGATTCGCCTTTGTATTCGTGCCGTTGCCCCAGCCCCCGGTCCCAGGCCGGGGAGCATCACTCCAGCCGGACCCTGACCGGCTCCCGTCAGCATCCCACCCAGAGCCAGTTTTCTTCCCATCCCCCAGGTGCCCAAGGACGGAAGACGGGTCGGCCCAGTCCCCGCCTCCTGCGCTCCAGGCTGGACTGGGCTTCTGTCCGTCCCCCCAGTTCTGAGACTTGGGCTTGAGGGGCTCACCCCAGGTGGGTGACTTGTCCTCCTGCCTCGCGGTCCCACTCCAAGCGTGGCCACTCTTGGCAGCAGCAGCGTTAGGAACAGCAGCAGAGCTGATGGAGTCCCCCCAAACCCCGGGGCCATTTGGCGCTCTGGCGCTGCTGTCCCCCCAGCCTGTGTTTGCTGGCCCAGCAGCAGGCGGCGAGCTGACCCACCCCGATACTGAAGAGGTATTTGTACTGTTCATGACGGGCCCATCGTTCTTCCCCCCTGAGTGTGAAGGCTGCGGAGCCGCACAGCCCCAGGCCTCCGTGCCGTTGTCATTCTTTCGCTCCGACCTCGGGGACTCTTCAAATTCCCAGGCAGTGTTTTGCTTCACAGGAGTCTGTCCCCAGCCAGTATTGGACAGCACTCTCGGGTCAAGGTCGTTCCTTGGCAACTGGATGTGCCCTTGGTCTAGAACCCCTTTCTCTCGCCTCCGGCCTTCGGCCCCTTCCCTCCCGGCACCTCCTTCACTGTGGCCGCCAGAGCCCTCGCTGCTGCCTTCGCTCGCCGGGGCTCCGGAAGGGGCGGCCTTGGCCCACGAGCTCCCGTGCTCACCGCCAGGCTGCAGGGCCGGGTTCTGGCTGCCGACACCGGGACTGTCCCACCCTGTTGATGCTTTCCCACTGACGTCACCACTGGAATGCTGGTTTGGGGGCTTTCCCCACTCCCCATTCACACCGTTGGCGGTGCTGCGGCTGGGGTGGCCCCACGCTCCTGAATGGATACCCCCCACGCTGTTATTGCCACGGCCCCTCCCCCAGGCGAGGATCCCAGGGCCAGCGGGAGGCCCCGAGTCCCAGGCGGTCCCCCCATTCCCTTCCTTTTGCACAGCACTGCTGGATCCATTCTGTTTAGCACTTAATGCTGAGTTCACAGTGTCTGCATTCCCCTGACTGAACCCAGAATTGCTATTTCCGGTGGCAGGGCTGCCTGGGGACAGTCCCCACACAGAACTGCCGATTCCTTCACCGCCCCCACCGACTTGAGAGACTGACGACCCGTTAGCACCAGGAAGGCCTTGCAGGTGGGGCGGGATGACAGCCCCCATGCCGACGGCCAGGCCCCAGGTGGGCAGCCCGTTGGTCTGCATTGCATTGGCAGGGTTTGGCGAGGGGCTCGCGGGGTTAGTGTTGTTTGGTCCATCAGTGGTAAGGTTCTGAGGCTGTGCGCTCAAAGATACATTCTGCGAAGTGGGCGTTTGTGGCTCTGAGCTCTCCGGCGGCAGCAAGCTCCCCCACGCACCCAGCGTGCCCGGCGGGTTCCCGTTCTGGTTGCCCACGCCGTGACCTATGGCACTGACTGGACTGCAAATACTGGAAGGGGTGCCTGTGGCCACCGTTCCTTCATGTCCGAGCACAGGCCAGGCAGCTGGGTTGGCGCTCGGGTTGAGGTTGAGGTTCATGCCAGCGTTGGGGCTGGAAGCGCCCCAGCAGTTCTGACTTCTCCCCTCGGCAAGCACGCTGTCCATTTTCCCTTCCGCGGCGCCCAGCGCGCAGTGGGCGAGGCCGGAGCTGGAGCCCGCGGCTACGCCCCACACTCTGGCCGCACTGCTGCTGCCGTTGCTGCCCCCTGCGCCCAGGGCACTGGGGTTCGGAGGGCTCTGGACCAGTGCGCCGTTGGTGCTGTTATTGCCATTGGTCTTCTTGGCGTGCCCGGTGAAGCTGCCTGGGGCGCTCCCTGTCGCCATGCTGCTGTTCTCCGAGCCGCCGTGGGGGGCGTGGGGGGCAGCGTCAGCGTCCACAGTGCATTCTGAGGCCGCCTCCGGCTCGGCCCCGGGGATGGAAGGCCACGCCTCCTGGTCAGTCCTGTCTATGATCACTTGATCCCAGGGGCAGCTGGCTTCACTCCGGAAAGCAGGCTGCGGTGCCCAGTGCGGACTTTCATAATGCTCTGCCAACCCGCCGCGGCTGAGATCTGCAGAGGATGAAACAAACCCCAGGTTAGATTTTCCTCCCGTTTGTCAACGAGTCAACTGTCAGCTAGTCTTTGGGGGAAGCTCATTATTTCAAGTTTTCAGATCTGAATGACAAACGCTAAAAATATGACTTAAAGAAAAAAGTTGTTTGTCTTCTTAATAGCTCCCATTTAAAAATGAGTTCGTGTTGCTACAATTATATTAGTTCCTACCACTGCACCATCCTCTCCTTCCTCTTGAGAAGGCGCCCTGTGCCCGCATGCACACAGGCATCTCGGAGAGCATTTGTATGAAAGGAAGCTGCTTCGCTTAAGTCTAGCAACTTGGAAAGGCGTGTCACTCGGCAACACCAGAGCCAGCCCTCGGGGAGACGGCATCAGCAAGGGCTCCTGCATCTGGGTACGCTCTGCTGTTTTCCGGGAGACTCTAGGGTTACAGTATCATCCAGAGGCTGGCAGCTCATTTAGTAGAAAAGAACTGTAAGTGCCTGGCCAGTGCGGCTCAGTGGTTGAGCACTGACCTATGAACCAGGAGGTCACGGTTAAATTCTCGGTCAGGGCACATGCCTGGGTTGTGGGCTTCATCCCCAGTGGGGGGCATGTAGGAGGCAGCTGATCAATGATTCTCCCTCATCACTGATATCTCTCTCTCTCTTTCCTTCTCCCTTCCTCTCTGGAGCCCTATCTCACAGCATACACAGAAATAAACTCTAGATGGACTAAAGACCGAATTAGGAAAAGCAAAACTTTTAAAGTTTAATGAGGAAACAGAGGAGGCCATCTCATCTCCGGGGCCTTGGACACTCCCTGTGTCTTCCTACGGGAGACATAAAGATCCAACTGTCACATCAGAACACGGGGGTGACAGGCATCACCACGCAGAGGAAGCTGAAAGCAAGCCGCAGACAGGAAGGAGGGAGCAGACGGAAGATGACAACCAGAACAAAGAACCAAACCAAGAGCAAGGCCAAGAGTCCAGCGAAAGTAGGAAACGGACAGGAAACCCATAGGAAACAATCACCAGCCATCGCTGCGAGAGATGCACTTTAACCAGAGGCGACGCCGCACCGCGCTTACGTGGCCACTGCCACACGGACCCGAGTGAGGATCGCGGTGCCTTCTGGGGGACAGGAACGGGGTTGAGGGCGCTATCTGTGACATCTCTGAAACAGAGATCTGAAGGAAATAGGGCAAAATATCAGGCCAAATCTGTATTGTGAGTGTAGTTTTATTTACTGTGTACTTTCTTCTATTTTAAAAACATTTAAAAAAATTGAAAACGCTTAAATATGATACCAAATGAGGTAACAGATAGAATCCCAAACGGTACCCAAGGTGAGTGCCCAATGCTCCGAGGTGGTGGGAATGTAATTCAAAGCGCACATCTTTATTAGAAAAACGTGATGACTTGACAAGAACGAAGAGATTAGTGTGATTATAAAAACCTGATCCCTGCACCAAGAGCCTAATTTTTGAAGGTGAGTTTCTTAAGGACATGGATGGGATCTTTTTAGTTTTATATCCATAATGCTTGCCACATATCAGGAACCAATAAATGTGCCTGCGCAAACAAAAGAATAAACATGTAGAACCGAATCGGAGTTCCAGCTGAAGCAACCACAGTGAGCGACCTGGCCATTCCTCAGCTCTAAAAAGATGACGAGGAACTAACGGTACAATCCCGAAGGCTCTTGGCTCTAAACTTATGATTCCTAGAGCCTCCCTCTACTGCACATTACCATGAGAATCAACACAAACACCAAGCAACCTTTCTGGCATACTGAATCTCAACCACACTATTCAAGCAAATGTATTTTTATTGCAGTAAAATATACAAAATATAAACTTTCCATTTTAACTATTTTTGAGTGACTCCAAGTACATTCATATTGTGCAACTATCGCCACTTTCCATCACCCTAAACTGAAACTCTCTACCCTTAAGCACTAACTCTCTGCGCCCCCGCCTCCTCCCCGACGCTGGTCCCCACCACTCTCCGTCCTTTCTCCAGGCTCTGACTACTCCAGGGCCCTTCTACAAATGGAGTGCACAACATCTGTCCTTTTGTGACGGGCTGATTTCACTTAGCATGTTCTAGCACGTGTCAGAATGCCCTTCCTTTTCAACGCCGAATACCATGCCACTGTGTGCCTAGACCACGGCGGTTTATTTCTTCACCTGCCCACGGGCCATCGGGCGGCTTCCACACGCTGGCTATTGTGGCTAATGCTGCGTAACCTGAGGACAGGCACATCTGCTCCAGCCCCTCTCTCAGTTCTTTTGGGTCCATGCCCGGAAGTGGCGGTACCGGGTCACACGGCAGTCCTATGTGTAAGTTCCTGAGGAACCACACCATTTTACTTTATTTTTTTAAATTATTATTATTTTTTGTTAATCCTCACCCAAGGATATTTTTCCATTGATTTTTAAAAAATAATAGTTTAGCCTGACCGGTTTGGCTCAGTGGATAGAGTGTCGGCCTGCGGACTGAAAGGTCCCAGGTTCGATTCCAGTTGGGGGCATGTACCTTGGTTGCGGGCACATCCCCAACAGGAGGTGTGCAGGAGAAAAAATCAATAAAATATATTTTAAAAAATAGTTTAAACATAATATGTATTTATTTAAAAGCTGGAAAGATCTTAAAAACCAGAAAGCCAAAGTTATGATTTTAATGCAGTATTTATGGTTCTCACAGACTCCATTTGATTTGCAAATACCACTCCCCACTGTTTGCTCAGCACAGCGGCAAAAGCAAAGCCAGCCACAGGAGCAAACCGCAGGACCTGCATCCCGACACCGCACAGAGTGATTCCCATTTTAAACTTCTTGAGATGGAGAAATGATAAAGTGACAAAGTGAGAGGAGGAAAAACAAAAGCCAGGCGTGGTGCCTACGAGGACACGCCCGTGTCTCCACAGCATGGACCGTCCTCTGACAGGCCTGGTTCATCTGTGAGCTCAGCAGGTCTCAGTTCCGAGCCAGAGCCCACGTCCGTGAGACTCAGACCACAGCACACACGGCGGACGGCCTGGACCTCTCCCATTACCCCTCCTTACGGGCGGCAAGCAGGGTCAGAGAGGCAGGCTTGGAAGAGGGGTGATGACTAATAACCAGCAGGACTGAACCAAAGCTGGCATTTTCAGAGTAAAATTCTTATTCCTTAAAGAATTTTAAAAAGCAGCCTTAAAGAGAAAAAAGTAATGAAGTTTGTGTATAATATTGTCCTTTCCTCTGCTGTTTAACTGCCTTAAGTGATTAAATTAAAAAGGATTACATGATAGCATCGTTTAAAGAGAAAAGCTTTTTTTTTACTTCCAAATTCTAAAATGTTAATGACATAAAGATCAATTTTTTCAAGGAAAAGTATTTAACAAAGAGCTTCCAAAAGCTACAATAAGCAAAACCTTAATTAGGTATCGGATTAATCAGATAGGGAGCGTGCACAAGATTCACTCAGAAGTGTGCAGAATGCTTAATTAGTCGTAACACTGACAAATAGGACATAATTCATTCTTTATCACTACAGCCTTCCAACGGAAATGACAAAATAATAAACTATATATTATAAGACATAATTCCGAAGGCTTCCTTCCATAGCTGTGAACACGTTTTACTAAGGCGTAGTGGTAACAGATTCCTTGCCACAGATTCCTGTTTGGAGCTTTTGAGAACCCCAAACACCTTACCCTCGACAGCATTTACTGTGTAAAAATCTCAGGGAGGCCCTAGCCAGTTTGGCTCAGTGGGGAGAGCATTGGCCTGCGGACTGAAGGGTCCCAGGTTCAATTCCGGTCAAGGGCACATACCTTGGCTGCAGACTCAATCCCCGACCCTGGTCAGGTCACGTGTGGGAGGCAGCCAATCGACGCCTCTCTCTCACATTGATGTTTTCCTTTCTCTATCTCTCCCCTCCCTTCCACTCTCTCTAAAAAAAGAGTCCATGGGAAAATATCCTCGGGTGAGGATTAACAGCAGCAACAACCAAGTCTCAGGGAGATCTGAATTCAGAATTCCGTTGCTGGACAGAGTCCGGGACACCTGATCCAATCTCCCTAGTGAAGATCCAAGCATGCTGACCCAAGTACCGGCTTGAAGCAAAAGGTTTACGGAAACAACAATGGGAGCTCACTGCCTGGTCTTACTTCAAACGAGCAATGAAGGGAGTTTGCTGCCTCCAGGTTGACAGCCTGTCAGACGCCGATGAACGTGGGGGCACAAGCCGCATCCTCCTCTGGGAGGCCGGCCAGCGCCGAGGGCGCGGGGGAGGCCGGCGGGAAGGCCCTGCCGCCGCCCTGGGCCAGCAGCTGCCTGAGACGCCATCTTATCAGTGTGACCGGCACGGGAGCCAGGGCTCCGGGCTGCTCTCTGGATGGCACGTCACAGGCTGATGTGGGACAAGCACACGCTCTGCTCGTGTGCGTTCGTCTCTCCTCCTCGGCCAGGGCCGCTGGGGGCAGACATGCCTGCAGCAGAAATACCTGCAGAAAGGGGCCTCCACCCCCGAGACGCTACCTTGCAAGCCAGCTGCTGGTTCGCCTGCATCTGGGGTCACCTGGGCTGACTCCACCATGTCGGCTGTGCACAGCGACAGCCTCATCCTGTCGCGCTGCCAGGAAAGTCCCCGGCACTGGCGGGTGCCCTGGGCGGCCAGCGGGCAGGGTTGGCAGCCCTGCCCCTCCGGGAGGCCCCGCTCCACCCCTGCAGCGGGGGGGAGGCGCCCACGGTGGGGACTGGAAAGCTTTGATTATCTAATTGCAGCTGACACTAAACCCATCTTCCCTCCTCTTTCAATTCTCTCAATTGTCACAACATTTTTATTCAGGCCCCAGTCACAGGAGCGCCGCTGCCGGTTTGCTTGTTTGTTGAAAGTCAGCCAAGAGAATAACGGCGCCCCGCCTGCCGGCTGCGCAGATAAACCGCCTCTCGCTCTCGCTGCCTTTGTTTCCACTCCCGCTTCTTTCTCACTCTTCCTCACCCCCAAACATTTGGCATACCAACACTAGCTCCAACATCCCAAACGAGCGCCATATGCAAACTGGCAAGTGTCCAACTTCTTAATTACTTTCTTCCTCCATCTAAAACCCATCTAAGTGGCAAACACAGCCGCGCAGCCACCAAAGCCTGTTTATACCCGTACAAAGCAGCCCCCGAAACAATCCATTGTTCCGCCTTTAGCACAACAGAAAGGAGGTTCTTAAACCCTGATGAAAGCTCTCAAGTGCTGGGAGCTGGGGTTCTGCTTCAGACACAGTCTGGAGAGAAAACAACAGGATAAAATGACACTCCTACCCCATGCACAGGCTAACACTGACCTTACAGCAGCGGTTCTCAGCCTGTGGGTCGCAGCCCCTGTGGCGGTCGAAGGACCCTTTCACAGGGGTCGCCTAAGGCCATCCTGCAGATCAGATATTTACATGACGATTCATCACAGTAGCAACATTACAGTTATGAAGTAGCAACGAAAATAATTTTATGGTTGGGTCACAACATGAGGAGCTGTATTTAAAGGGCCAGAAGGTGGAGAACCACTGCCTTACGGGTAAAGCATCTGCCAACTCAGCACATGAATAGAAGACCCCCGTTTCTCCGCATGGCTTTATTAGAGGCCACGTTTTACGTCAGGACAAATGGTTGTCATTTGAAGGGAGAGCCTGGAACCGGGGCTGGCAGGAACCCTGGCCTCCACACGGCGCACGAGTCCTTCCACGCCTGACGACATGTGACTGCGTGTCTGGATCCCGCCAGTCGGAGAAAGGACGCAGGTCCTCCCAGGGCTCACGCTGCCCAGCTCAGCCCTCTGCCCCACTAGCTCTGCCTCTACCCTGAGCTGGGCTGGCCAGTTGGTTGCCTCCTGGCTCTTAGCAGTTAGGCTGGACTCCAGTTTGGATGTCTGCCGGGGGGTGGCACCCTCATGGAAATCGCAGGCCCTTGAGCAGGACCCTGGAGCAGCCGGGGAGAAAGGCCTAGGAACGCCTGTGAGGACCGGAGGGAACCGAGGGAGCCTGAGAACGTGGGGGCTCTGCCCTCCGCCGACAAGCCAGACAAGCTCTTTGTGGGAAGGGACTTAGAGAGGAGGTCGTGAGGGGCTCAGGCCTGCCATTTCCTGTGGAGGAGGTTCGGACACCTCAGCCAGCAAGCACACAGGTTGCACCGCAGAGTGCGAACTTACATGCTGCACCGAGCAGTGAGGGCGACACTGAGGGGGTCCTGGGGGCGGGGAGGCAGTGATGCGGAGAGAAGGGTGGGCGGCCACCGTGTGCACGCGCTGGGAAGACACGCTGAGCGGGCCCGTGTGAGACCGTGAGGAAGGGGCCCGTGCGAGGGGAAAGCAGCGCCGGCCAGACAGGCTGCGCAGGGGGAGCCCAGAGACCCCTCCGGCAGAGGGACCCTGAGCCGATGCAAGGGGGCGAGTTCAAGGGTTTGTCTGGCTCTGACCCCAGAGGCTGCTGGGAACGATGAAATTGGTATAAAACCAAGACTTTTGTTTGCGAGCTGAAAATTAATCATTTATTTTATTAATATCATGTAGATTAATGGCATTTTCTGAGATGTTTAGACATAAAATGATCTAGTCATTATATACGAGTGTATATATATATATATACATATATATATATATATAAAATAAACTAGGAATAACTTTCTAGAAATATACTTACAGAGACAAATGTTTTATTAAAAAATATTTTCATAAAAAATTTTACTGAAAAAATTTATTTTATTCTTATTTGAGTAGATACCAGCAAAATTTTGTACCAACAGCAGTTGATGAAAACACGGATGCAATACTGGCATCGAATCATATAACGAGACAAGCCCAGGAAAAAGCAGGCTGGTACATTTCTTTTGCTGTTTTTTTAAAAATGCGCACCCTATTTCGGTGTGACTGTGACTGCACAGCTTCTGTCTCTGTGAGGCTGTCCTGAGGACCGTATTCCAGTGCAGAAAGTAACCATATGCTTTTGAAAAAGTATGTTCTTATTGATTTTAGAGAGAGAGGAAGGGAGAGGGAGAGAAATACCCAACAGCTGCCTCCTTCGTGCCCCCCTGCTGGGGATCAAGCCTGCAACCTGGGCATGTGCCCTGATTGGGAATTGAACCAGTGACCTTTCGGTGCACATGAGGACGCTCAACCAACTGAGCCACACCACCAGGAGTGACCATCTGTCTGATTACCAACTGCTTGCAGTGAAGTAGGGGAGTTATATTCTTGTTAAATGAGTATGTTTGACCATTTCTTTTCTCTCTTGACCTACATCCCCTTGACCAGGAACTTAGCAAGGAGAGTCAAGATTATTTGAAGAGACATAGCAAAGCTGTCTAAAAATATTTGTTCCGAATATACCACAAAGTCTCGGTTTTGAGAAATACACTATAAATACTTTTGTGTCATGTTGCAATTATTCCCCATATTAAGTCAGTGTATGAAAGAGAAACATATTAATATGATCTGTGACATGTTTCTTTTAAATTCCAGTCTAATACGAGAAGCCTCCTTGCTTCTCCAATTACAGACCTGAATTTCACTGCCATCAGCAAGCCTGGTTCCCATGCCAGGACTGTGCCAACTGTTAAAGCGGAGAGACTTAAGGGCACCACAGAAATGTGGCGGTTCCCACAGGTACTCTGCTCTCCCAAAACCTTCTCTACAACTCCAGGAAAGCGTTTTTAAATCTAAATCCCTGAGGTCAAGAAGCCAGGAACAGGCGACAGAGGAGATGTCACCTCTGGAAGCTGGAAAGCGAGGGGGCAAGCGGCAGTTCTCCTGGAGCCAAGAGCCGCTGGAGGTGGCTGCAGGCAGAGACGCCAGCAGAAGCAGGTGGGTCAGAACCCGAGACACTGCACGCCAAGCTGTCGGCAGGTTTGGCTTTAAGGTTAGACATTACAGTTAGAAGCACCCACTTCCCATTCAATGCCATCACCTCCCTGCAAAGAACGTGTGCGGCCCTGCGCCCGTCTAGTGACCCAGCGAGGGCCTCGCTGCGAAGTCTCCTGCGGGGCTCTGTCCACTGCCGACCGTCACTGGCCTGCTGACAGACCTTTGCTTTCTGTGAGCAACAAAGTCGCTAATGCCTCTGACAACATGAGAAAGAACTCATATGAATAAGTAGGGGGAAGCAGAATGAAACTTCAAAATCCAACTGAAATGAATTCTATCTATCTTCTACTTATTGTCTATCAATTAGCTACCTATCTATTATCTATCTATCTATCTATCTATCTATCTATCTATCTATCTATCTATCATCTATCTATCTATCTATCTATCATCTATCTATCTATCTATCATCTATCTATGTATCTATCATCTAGCTAGCTAGCTCTATCATATATATATACTGGCTATGGACCCAAAGTTGTCCATTTCTATTCCTGGGCCGCCGAGTGGGAAACAGCACACAAGCCCCAGATGAGAAGCCGCCCTCCGTGGCTCACCTGGCTGGAGCTTGCTGGGCTGCTGCTGTGCTCCGGCTCCAGGGAGGGGAGGAGGGCTCACCCCGGCAGGCCCAGCGCCCTGGGTGGGGCTCGCACTGGTCAGAGCCCCCGTGGGCAATGGCTGGCCTCGCTTCAGTAGCTGCTTCTGTTCCTGCTGGCGGAAGCGTGGAGGCACCTCACGAGGCAGGTAGCGGGACACAGCTGGCTGCTGGCCGCCGGCAGGTGCGCGCTTGCCATTGCTGCTGCTGGAGAGAGTGCTGGTGGGAGTACTGGTCCCGGTACCGGCAGGCTGGGGCTGGCTGGAACAGGTCTTGGTAGGTTCTGGCACTGTAAGGACAAAATGAAAAGACCCCAACACTTCAGTAACACCTCCTAAACCCAACCCAAACCGAAGAAAACAAAACAAAAACAAAATAACTGAGAGAGATGACAATGAGGCGCTTTGGGAAGAGAACTGGACTGAAGTCAGACTCCGGGTTGAGAGCCAGTTTCTATAAAGTAACCATAATCTTGGCTGTGGCTCCTGAACCAGCTTCCTCATCTGGGAGATGAGTGCTTAGTCGGAGAGCAGTTCTCATGTGCCCTTGACTAGAATTGAACCCAGGACCTTTCAGTTCGCAGGCCGATGCTCTATCCACTGAGCCAAATTGGCCAGGGCCCTCTAGTGATTTTATAAGCACCCAAGTTTCTGTACTTAAACTGTACTCATTTCTGCGTAAAGTAGCTAGAGTGGTTTCTATACTCATTGGCTGAGCTGTGGTGAGGAACACAGGTTTTTTTTTTTTAGCAACTAGTCCATTTAAATCTTTCATCCACCAGATCACCCACATCAGGGTATGTGGAATGAGCCAGGGTATTCCACTGTGTTTTCCTCCTAATGGCATTAACAATACTGGGACACCCCTCAATTAGAATGTCAGAGGCCACCACCGTTAGCCTCACGTATGCTGGCAGGAAGGCCTGCAATGGGTTAGAGCAGTGGTTTTCAACCTTCTGGCACTTTAAATACAGTTCCTCATGTTGTGACCCAACCATAAAATTATTTTCGTTGCTACTTCATAACTGTAATGTTGCTACTGTTATGAATTGTAATGTACATATCTGATATGCAGGATGGTCTTAGGTGACCCCTGTGAAAGGGTCGTTCGACCACCAAAGGGGTCGCGACCCACAGGTTGAGAACTGCTGGGCTAGAGGGACACTCTAAAAGTAGCTGTTTATTGGTGAACTAGAGGCCCGGTGCACAAAAATTTGTGCACTGGGGGTAGGGGGGGTCCCTCAGCCCGGCCTATGACCTCTTGTAGTCTGGGACCCCTCGGAGGATGTCCACCTGCTGGCTTAGGCCCGCTCCCTGGGGGATCGGGCCCCTGGCAGTCAGACATCCCTCTGGCAGCCCGGCAGCCCTCGGAGGATGTCCACTTGCCAGCGGGGAGCAGGCCTAAGCTGCAGTCAGACATCCTTAGCACTGCTGAGGAGGCGGGAGAGGCTCCTACCACCACTGCTGTACTGGCAGCCATCAGCCTGGCTTGTGGTTGAGCAGAGCTCCCCCTATGGGAGCACACTGACCACCAGGGGGCAGCTCCTGCATTGAGCGTCTGCCCCCTGGTGGTCAGTGTGTGTCATAGTGACCAGTCTTTCCCAGTTGTTCTGCTGTTAGGGTCAGTTTGCATATTACCCTTTTATTATATAGGATAGAGGCCTGGTGCATGGGGGGGCCCGGCTGGTTTGCCCTGGATCAGGGTGGGGGTCCCGGTGGGGTGCCTGGCCAGCCTGGGTGAGGGGCTGATGGGTGTTTGCAGACTGGTCACACCCCCTTCAGGGTGGGAGTCCCCACTGGGGTGCCTGGCCAGCCTGGGTGAGGGGCTGATGGCTGTTTGCAGGCTGGTCAAGCCCCCTACCCCCAGTGGGGACCCTCACCCCATGGAGGTTTGGCCAGCCTGGGTGAGGGGCTGATGGCTATTTTCAGGCTGGCCACACCCCCTTTAGGGTGGGGGGTCCCCACTGGGGTGCCTGGCCAGTCTGGGTGAGGGGCTGAGGGCCGTTTTCAGGCTGGCCAAGCCCCCCAGCAACAGAAGCTCCCAGCCTCTCCTTTTTTTCTTTTTTTATTCTGGGATTTATTTACCTTCTATAATTGAAACTTTGTAGCCTTGAGAGGAGCTCAGAGCCGGCCAGGGCAGGCGGGAGGGAAGCTTGGTTTCCTCCATCGCCAGGGGCAACCCACTCCTGCTCACTCCAGCTCTGTGGCCATGGCCGGCTGAAAGCAGGTATCTGTGGTTTATTTATCTTCTATAATTGAAACTTTGTTGCTTTGAGTGGAGCTTAGAGCCGCTGCAGTAGGCAGGAAGGGCAACCAAGCCTCCTGCTGGCTTCAGCACTGTGGCTGCCGGCCGCCATCTTGGTTGGGTTAATTTGCATATAGTCACTGATTGGCTGGTGGGTGTGGCTTAAGGCATAGCAAAGGTATGGTCAATTTGCATGTTTGTCTTTTATTAGTGTAGATGTTACCCTAGAGGGACCCACACATCTTCACATGTCTTATTTCTGAAATTTGGATACATCTTACAATTGGTACATGAATTTAATATAGTTTCCTCATTCACCTTCAAACTCTATCAATAGAACATTACTAAATCAATGGTATGTCCTATAATTGATGGCATCTTAGGACTTAAGAAGTTTTGTATGTAAAGCATGGAATTTCTCTTATGCAGATACAACACAAGACAATGAAAGAAAAAATGTTTAAAAATCTTGCATTAATTTCATCCATTTCAGAATATATACTCAAAGATACGGAGTTTCTTAAAATTGTAAATTTACATGTAATCAGACATATATGACTGACTGCGAATGTGACTATCAGAGAGAACTGCTCTCCTGCTAAAGCAGCCAGGGATCCCGAGGCATATCCCCACTCCTCCACTGTCTCCGCAACCTGCCTCACTGCTGGACGGGGAAATCTCCTTAGAATGAGACGCAGGCAGGACAACTCTGAGCGACAAGCATTTGCCGGGCTTCTCGGCAGTCCCAGAGGGTACAGCAGTGGCCTTCTGTTTGTTCTCTTGACAACTTCTGGCTGATCTGTCACCATGGCAACTTTTGGAGCACAACTCAAAATGAGCAGGAACTCATTCACTACTAACTACATTAACTTAGTGTCTGTTGCTAATGGGAAACGCTGTTTAGAGACATTTCCTATCTACTGTATTACAGTTACTTCTCCAAAAGGTATTACAACGTGCCGACCATCACATGAGCCACGTTTCTGAACAACAGCCGCTGACTGAGATTAAAACAGAAAACTCTCGTAACAGCCTATGTTAAAGCCACGGGGCCAACAGAGCATTAGTGTGGGCTTCCCATGACCTTTCAGTCTGTGACGTCACCTGGGATGCCTGCGACGAGAGCACAGGGACAGTCATGAGGGGAAGTCCGCTGAGCAACAGCTGCAGTCCCCCCGCCGCAGGCTCCTGAACCGACAAGCTCTGCAAACAGCAAACCCAGCTCTCAAGAAACAAGGACGCTGATGGGGAATTAAGCGCCCAGGGCTTGTCCTCTCGGGACGCGTGCACCGCCCCTGCAGAAGGATCGTGTGTGTTCCTTAAGAAAATGTGAATAGCAATAATCCTGGGATGATGTCCCCCCAAAAGTGTGGACTCCAGTACCTGCCAAAAGAGGGAGCCGGGTTTGCCGACTGCAACACTGAGGAGAGAAGGCTGGGGATCGGGGGAAAGCGGACAAGCCCTCGTCCTGCCCTTAGGAAGAGGCGCCTTCCCCTGCCCAGGCTGTCCCAGCCCCCCAGCCTCTGACACCGCTCACACTGTGCCGGCTGCAGTGGTCTTGGCCTGAAATGCCCCCTCCAGCCAGCCGGCCTTGTCCAGTGCTGTTCCCTGTGTGGGGAGCCGCAGCCCTCCCTGCTCCCAGGCCACTATGTTTTCCTCATCCCTCAGACCCTCAAGCATCACTCAGGACGCCTGCCCACATGTGGCCTCGCTCAGGTCCCCTCCTCCACAGCAGCATCTCGGGCTGTGACAGGCGCTGTGGCCATTCCCGTCAGTCGCTAGGTTCCATGAGCGTGGGGAGCACGTCTCTTTTCCTGCATCTTCCCCCCCAGCTCGAGCAGCACAGGGCCGGGCAAACAGCAGGTGTTCCGCAGGCACCTGCAGATGAAATGATTAGCCCAGTCTCTTCCATCTACCGACCTGACCTTCCTGTCACCCGGCCCCGTGGCTTAGGCATCTGGGTCTGAGCTGGGCTCCACGAGCCAGGGCTCTCTCCAACCGTCACTCTCATTCAGCCTGGCCCTCAGCGGCCTGAGATGTAGCCTTGTGCTGTCCCTCGCCCGCTGGGAGCTCTCCTGGCCCCCCTGGTCTAAAAGGTCAACTCTCAAGTCCTCAAGGGGCTCTAAGGACTCCAGGCGCTGGCCTCCCTGCCCTCGCCTCTCTATTTCAGCCTCTTCTTTCAGTAGGACAGGCGGTCTGAGTGCTCAATTCCAGTGGCCTCGCGGGCAGGCAGGTCTGAACGAGTGTCCTCTGGCCTGTTCCCACAGGAGGACAGCCCCAGCAGGCACTGTCTCAGTCCTCACAGCCATCGCCTCCGATTCATCAGAGGAAACGAGCACGCACCCAGAGATCGCCCACAGCCAGGCGGGTGGCACCGCAAACGGTGATGTATCCAGACAGCGGCTACTGCTCAGCGATAGAAGCAATGACTTCCTCACACACAACAGGGATGGCTCTCCAAAGTGCCAGCGCTGAAGGGAGCCCAGGCCCTGTTGTGTGACACTGTCTATGCGACAGTCTAGGAAAGAAGCTTCCACAGTGCGGGAAGATCAGGGTTGGCACACCTGTGGGGGGGAGGGGCCTTCACCCTGGGGGGGGGGGAGGGGAGGAGCCTGCACACAGATGGGGAAGGGAGGGGTGTGTGGAAACTTCCAGGGCTTATGGGCATTGTCTTGATTGCTAGGATGTTTCACAGGTGTGCACAGGCCAAAATGTATAAATTGTTCTCTTTAAGTTTAATGTTCAGTTTACTGCAAGCATGTCAAACTCGCAGCCCACAAAGAATATTTTTGCGGCTCAGCAAAAATACAATATAACGGTATGTAAAAAACATTTCAATAAAAATTTTGTGACTTAATTTTTACAATATCCTGTTATACATAATTATTAATAACGAACTACAACGTTCGCTAATGACTGATTACTATAATCGTGCTGCATTCATTTCCCTTATGCGTATTATGCACCTTACGTGCAGGTGCACCATTTCTCTCCACTAATACTAGCAGTGAATGTTTCAGCAGCCGATGGCCACACCAGTAGTTCTGGACTGACCTGTTTGGCTTGCGCAACAGGAAATATTTCGCTTTCGGAGAACAAGAAAAATAGGTTTATTTGCGTTACACTTAATTTGTGCAGTTATTCAGTGTCTGGTAAGTGAATGTTCAAGAAAAAATATTCATTTTTATTAAAATGTTCTATTATTTTATGTTAATGATGACTCATTTATTTCAGCCCTTTGTATTCAGCATGTCTCTACTGAAATAAACCTACTTTTCTAAGAAAATTGACGCTTTTGTTTTTTTTGCGGCCCACATAAAGTTAAACCTTGTTTATTTGGCCCGTGTTAGCCTTTGAGTTTGACATGCTTGGTTTACTGTATGTCAATTATAACTCAATAAGCTATTAAAAGGAAAGCAGGTAATCTGATCCATTTTTTCTCAGAAAGGTCAGCTTCCTTTAGAGCAGTGGTTCTCAACCTGTGGGTCGCAACCCCTTTGGGGGTCGAACGACCCTTTCACAGGGGTCGCCTAAGACCATCAGAAAACACATCTATAATTACATATTGTTTTTGTGATGAATCACTATGCTTTAATGATGTTCAATTTGTAACAATGAAATTGGGGGTCCCCACAACACGAGGAGCTGTGTTAAAGGGTCGCGGCGTGAGGCAGGCTGAGAACCACTGCTGTAGAGCCATAAACTATAACTTCCTCTAGTGGGAAACTGCCTGTATGTGAACGAACAATAATGGCACAAACGAGGAGGCTCGAGTGGTGCTTCCAACTGGCTCACTGTGAGCGAACCACAGGGACGGGGCCACTGCGAGCATCACGCGCTGCCAGGACCCACCGAGACAGTGATGCGCACATTCCGGACTCGGAGAACAAAAAGAAATCTCACACATTCATAAGCAAAGAGGGAACACATAAAAAGCATCTCTCTCTTTGTTATAAATAGCTGGCAAAGACAAATTAGAAGCTTTAGAAGAGTTCAGTATCCCTTAGTTGTTCTTAAATGGAAGCAATTGATCAGTTTAATCCTGTTTGGTGGAAATTAAACCAAAGGAAAATTAGAAAGCAATGCTTACAAAGCTAACATGACATTCTTTAGGCGTTTAGGTTAAACAAATGCCAATGAGATGTAGATGTAAACCCAGTGATAAAGGAAGAATTTCACGGTGAATAATGTAAAGTAGATTCAAAGGCAAGGTTGGAGTCTTTGTTTTTAACCATCAATTAAAGAAAAAGTCATCTTCATCATAAAAAGTTTGGTACTGCCATAAAATTGCCACCCCCCCCCCCCGCCCCCCGCAAATAAAATAAACTTACCTTTGGTTTTTTGATCAGCAGCCTGAAAAAAAAAATCAGAAACTCTTTAGGAATAACGTGTAGGATATACACATCTATGAAAGTTTATAAACAGACTTTAATACTGGGAATTTTAAAAAACAGTATTTTCCCAGTTCATTTATTAAAAGTGTCTAGTTGTTGACTATATGCCAATATTGGTTGAAAGGCAACCACATCTGTCTGGGAGCTCATTGGAGCTCTGTGTTTTAATACAATCTATAGGCATACAGTTTAAACTATAAGCTAGGCAAAAACAAAAATGAATGGCATCACTTGGTATATTAAATGCCATAAATTCAAGCATGACTCAGGGCTTTTAATTTTTAATGTTTACTAATAGGGTTTGTAAAAGAACATTTACCAAAGCTGCAAAAATTATTTCTAACTTTTCTAAAAAAATCGGTTGAATGGCCCTTTTCTCATCTCTTAGGCTTGTTCTGGACAGTTTATTCCAAGGAGAATAGTATGAACATTCTTTACTTCCGATAACTGAAATCAAACTTCTTTGAAACACAGCTCTTATACTTCTAGGTCCTTAAGATAGACATGCTATGGCTGTCACTCTATACTTATTCCATAGCACAATAACTATTTTTTGCTAATTACAGATTTAGCACCTGACTCTACAAGAGAATGCAATTCTGTAACGTGATGGCCATGACAATGCAAATGCGACATGGGATGATCGTAAAGACAAGGAGGCAGCGACTCCAGCCAAACCTTTTTCTGAGCACCTTCCTTCTTTTTCTTTTCTTCCTGCTTTTTCTTTTTCTTTTCTTCCATCAAACGTTCCTCTTTTTGTGTTTCTGGTTCTTTCTCCCTATTAAGTAGAAAGAAAAGTGGCATCAGCACAATGTCCACCTTAAATCTATCTATATAAAACCCTAATATGCAAATAGACCGAATGGCAGAACTGAACAACTGGTCGCTATGAGGTTTGCTGACCACCAGGGGGTGCGCGCGGAACATGGCGGGCGTCGGCCACAGTGGGATAGTGGAGCAGGTGAGTGGGTGCGCCAGACCAAGGTGGGACATTGGTCGCTGTCATCAGGGGGAGCCTCTGGTGGTTACTGAAAATTCTTTGCTCCCGTGTACCAGTCCCACCCAGTGCTCACACCTGCTGCTGGCGTGGCACCAGCCTCGATCGCCCCTCAGGGCTTCTCCACCTCCCCCTGCTCCTGAAGGGTGATTGGGGCAGCAGCCGCCGCTCGCACCTGCTGCTGGCGCTGGCTCCAATTGCTCCGTGCCGTCAGCAGGTATGAGTGGGGCCGGCGCTGTCAGCACATGGGAGTGGCGGTGGCAGGAGTGGGGCTGCTGGTAGAGGGGACCGGGGCCATGGCAGGAGGGGCCAGGCGAGGGCATGGAGGATGGGGCCGAGACCTGCCTCTGTGCCCACTGCAGCCTCACAGCCCACAGTTCCTTTCAAGGTGCACGAATTCATGCACTGGGCCCCTAGTCAAAGAATAAACACACATTATCTTCGGAGAGTTGGAGCCAGACAGTGTTTTGCATGTCTAAGGGCCTTGGAGAAGAGGTGGCATGCCTCCATACTGCTGCAAGGCCCTCTGCTTTGGCGGCTCAGCAGCTCATTCACTCAGCCCACACCTGAACACCAGCCTTTTCTTAGGCTAAGGGTACGAAGTGGAGTAAGACACAGTTCCAAACAGTCCAGCCCAGGCCACCACTCCTTCAAGTGTTGTCTCAGGGACCAGTCATCAGAATCCTGGGGTACCTATTAAACACAGATTCCTGGGCTCCACCCAGCCCAACCAAACCAGAATCTCTGGCAGTGGGACCTTCTCAGCACAGACTCTGCACTCCGGCCTCCTGCTGCTGGTCCCACCCTGACACGTGTCTCTCATGGTCCTCTCAAATGACCCTCCCAACCAGGACACCCTGTAGTCCATGCCTGCTGCATTCATGCTCCCACTTCCTCTGCACACGGCATGCTGAGCCATGCAGGTATAGCCGGCCACAAGGAGGGTTGCACCAGGGCCCCCAGTTCCTGTGAGCCAAGCCACTGGTGAGCTGGGCCTGTGCTCCCAGCAGTGCTTCCTGCTGCCCGGCGACTGCAGACCAGCTCTGGCCTGGGCAAACCAGGGGCTGCTCTGTCATCCAGTGCGCTGCAGTGTGCCTTCTTCAGGGAGAGGGACCCCCAGCCTTGGGGCAGGGTGGGGAACGCCCAGCCGAGGGCATGGAAGGCCGCCAAAAAAATTTCGTTCCTCCCTGCCAAGGCTCAGGGTTGAGCTAATTCAATGTTTGACCAGATCGAGCAGGCTAGTTTTTAAGTTGATAATTTTGTATGGCCCTCAAATGTTATAAATATCCAAATGGCCTTTGGCAGAAAAAAAGGTTCCCCACCCGTCTTAGATGATACTTTCCAGGAATATTTTCAAGTTAAAAGGTGTGGAGACACGAAGAAATCTGAATTCACAACACTAAAAAAAAAAAAAATCCTTACCCAAGGATATGTTTTTATTCATTTTAGAGAGAGGACGGGAGAAAGAAACATTGATTGGCTGCCCCCATATGCAATCTTCTGATGTGCGGGACGACGCTCCAAACAAGCCACGCAGCCAGGGCGACATTTACAACATTCTTAGGAGGCCCAGGCAGGCCCCTGAGTGACGGCTGGTCCTATAGCCAGCAAGCTGCACCACACAGCTCCGGAAAAGTAAACAAATAAACACCAGGCATGTGGCGGTCACCCACCCCTATTGCTTCTTTTTTTGTTTTGTTTTATTAATCTTTACCAGCGGATATTTTTTTCCATTGATCTTTTGAGAGAGTAGAAGGGTGAAGAGATAGAGAGACACATCAACTGGTTGCCTGCCACACGCACCCCGACCAGGGTGGGAATGGAACCTGTAATCCAGGTACATGCTCTTGACTGGAATTAAATCTGCGACCCTTCAGTGCTAGGGCTGACGCTCTAACCACTTAGCAACACCGGCCAGGGTCCCATTGCTATATTGTCTTAATCTGCATACAGCACAATGAAAGCCTTAAATTATCTCCAGGTATTAAACTTACAGTAGGCAAGTATAACTACATTATTAAAAGGTACTCAATAGAAAATGGAAAATTGTTTTTGCTTAATTCTATTACTCTGAAAATTAAATTAATTAAAGCCAGCTATTCCCCCCAGCAGTACAGTTAAGGTTTTACTGTAACAGTGAAATAAAATGCTGCAAATAAAGCGTTCATGGCTCATGCAGTGGGAGGTGTCTTACACTTTCCCGCCTGAGCTCGTGTTTATATGACAAAGCACAATTCAAGGTATGCTCTTCAAAACGCTGCATCTAATTCCCCCCAGCAAGCAGTAATTCCTCTTACTTCTAACTCTCAGTGTACAATCCTGCCACTTTTCATTAATAACTGAAAAACCAACATCGGATCACAGTTTCCTCTATAAAGTAATACCTGCTCATGGGAAAACCAACACAACATAAGGGATACACAGCAAGGCAGACCCCTTGCCAGCGCCCACAGGCCCTCCTCGGGCTCCTTACCGCTCTGCCTGCGGCCACACACTGACCCGTCTTGTAAAAAGAACAGTGGGAGCAGGCGGGTTCCTCTCTTCTGCCTTCCTTCCTCACTTAACCCCACGTCCACCATGAAGGGGACACGTCCCTCCACAGCTCCAAATCCTGGCTTGGGTTTGCTCTCTCTTGACTTAACGACTGGAGACATTAGCAACGTAACCCCCATAGTGATGGATATGGATGTGGTCCTTACAATAAACCCATCTCCCACCCCATCACAACCTTCAGTAAAACCCATAAATGTCGTCTGCTTCCTAAAGAATATATAAATGAGCCCTACAGCGCTGGGGAGCATACTGTCATTACATTTTACTTCTTGTGTAGCTGTTCCTTCTAGAGTTCCTACTGTTTTCCTTCTCCTCTTGTACTAATTTCCTGACAAAATTCTTGTTTTTTACCCCCCACCTTCCTCCAGTTAAGAACATGGGCCCCTTCTCCCACTGCCTTCCCGAGTTCTCCCGCCCTCACTCAGCCTGCTCACTCTAGACTGGGAGCACCCTGCCAGAGTGCTCTAATACCCTCTGCTTCGTTTATATTTTAAAGTTTTTAATTGCGATCAAATGCACATAAAGTTTACCATCTCAACCATCCGTAAGCGAGCAGTTCAGGAATGCACACTCACACCATTACACAGCCCAGAACGCGTTTCATCTTGCAAAACGGTCCCACACTGCCTGTTGCCCTCTCCCCAGCCCCTGGCAACCACCGTTCTATTCTCATTAATTTGACGACTTATTGTGGGGTTGCTTTGCATTTCCCTAATGACTAGTGATGTTGAGCGTCTTTTCCCATGCTTGTTGGGCATTTGTGGAGCTTTCTGGAGCCGGATTGCTCTTTCATCTTTAAATAAAACTTGTTTGTGTCACTGCACCATTTCTATCAACCCAGACTGTTACAGTGGGAAGGAGGACTTGCAGACTGAGCAGAAGGAACCACACATGCAAACTCCTCAGCCAAACGTCACGCCCACCCAGTGATGCCGGCTGCAACCTATCAGCTCGGGCGCCCGGTACGCCCTTGTCCTCCTCCTTGAGTTATGCCCTCGATTTGCTGTAAACCCTCAAGTCCCTTGTCTGGAAGGCGTGTCTGGGAGGGTGAGTTTTGGTTTCACAAATGACTTGGCTGAAGAGAGTTCTAGGCTGAAAAGGAGCCTGGAAGGCGCCATGCCGCGCATCCTGACACCTGGCACCTACTCGGGGGAAGGCTGGGCCACCGCGCTTTCCGGTCCTTTCTAGGTGACGTTCTAAGCCTCTAACCCTAGAATTCTGAAATGTCATGATGTGCGTGGCGGTATCTTTCCGCTCCGCTATTCGGGCTTAGTATTTGGCTGATGCTTTCACTACAGCATTTTTTCACTTTTTGCACCAGAGACAAAAAGAGGGTTGGTTCTTAACAACTATTTCCTGAACAAGGGCATTATAAGTGCTCTGGGATTTCAGGAGTGAACGTGGCAGAGTTCATATGCTTTCAAGGATAATCATATAAATGAGTCAAACAAATGAGCGCTATTACAACGGCGAGATGCACGAGACGCAGTCAGAGTGCGGCGAGGACATCGCGGCCGGCGTGGGCGAGGCCTCCTGCTGCGTCATCCCCGTTAGTCGGGGCTGCCCCTGGGGCGACCACCTTGGCGGAGATGCCTTCTGCCTCCGTGGCACAGAGAAGCCTGTCATCACCCAGATGTTGCTGGTGCCGATTCCTGGCCCACAAGCTCAGCTGGAAGTTATCCTGGAAACACGCTGTCAGTGCACTTTCTTTCTAGGGAAACACTATTTGTCTGAAATGATCAGTGATATTTAATAAGTTTCTCTCTGTCTTTTCAGGGCTGGCAAAAAGATTATCAACTTAGATTTGGAAACCTTCTTGCCCCATTGAAAGAGGAAAAAACTAATAGGTATTAACTATATAGTCAAGTGGTACTTTTCTATGTGGAGAAATTGTGAGATGGGCTTCTAGTCAGACTGCAAGCGGAATAAAGAAAAGCAATGATCAGGTTGGGATAATTTCATTTTTAAATTTTAATTTCAACTTTTAAAAATTACATTTAGATACACAAGATTTTATATACATTTATATTTAACTTTTCTTCTTTCTCATTTACTTGGCATCCCCTACCCACCTCCCCCACATCCACATCGAAGGTCCACTCTTTGCACCTCCCTTCTAGAGGACCCATGTGAGCCACTACTCCCCAGCCTTTCCCCACGCTCACTGTCAATGTGTGAACACACATACCCACATACCTTTACAAGGCATTTTATTTGATCACTAGAGGCCCGGTGCACGAAATTTGTGCATGGGTAGGGTCCCTAGGCCTGGCTGGCGATCAGGACTAATCAG